TATTTAACAAGAGTCAAACTTTGCTATTACTAATTTTATCATTTTTTTAAAAAATTTTCAAAATGAATCAGTCTTTAAAAATACAAATGGATGTTAAAAATAACATGCAAGATTTACAAAATTTTGCTTTAGATTTAAATAACTGGGAAAAAGAAATGAAAAAAAAAGAAATGGAATTAAATAATGAGAAACCGGTTGCTACAGTACGTTTATATATATATATTTTTAAGTTCTCAAATTAATGTTTAAATTTTTTTTTTAAAATTATTAATCATTATGAATTTTATTGAAAGTATCTGTTACACTAATCAGAAATGTCTCATTTGATGATTACAATTATCTTTTATTTTTATTTATTTGTTTCTTTTTATCAAAGTGTTTGTCTTGTCATTTTTACATAGTTGAATAATTTCAAAACACTAAAAACAAAACAAATATAATTTTGCACCGTTATACTAAATTTAAATTACTGTTTTTTTTTTTCTTTAATGTACTTGTAGCATATACCTGATAAATTTTCTTAATTTTTCAGAATTATCCTCCTCCTCCTCGAAATAAAATAAAAAGAAATAAACCAAACATAGAAAAAAACAGCTCAAGTAAAACGAAAAAAATTTCAGGTTATGATTATTCAGCTTGGGATAAATATGATGTGGATAAAGCTTGTGCTGAATTAGATTCCGAAGAAAATGATAATAAAAATGAAGAAAAAAATGTTGATATTGTCAAGTCAGAGAAAAAAGATGGTGATAATGAAAATGAGAATGATAGCGAAGATGAAGATGATAATAAAAATTCTCTTATAGACCAAGCTTATTATGAGAAAGAAATGGTAAGTGATGTCGCTGAATTTACACTCTAAATTTCAAGGTTTAAATCACAATATTTTTGAAACATTAATTATGTTTAATTTCAGGGAAATCAATTTGTTAAAAAGGAGCAATGGGATGATGCAGTTCAATGTTACACTAAAGCTATTAATTTAGATTCGAAAAATGCAATTTATTATGCAAACAGATCACTTTGTTTTTTAAAATTAAAAAAGTATGTAATTTTGCATTAAACAATGAGTTATAAACTTTTTTTATTTGGCTTCTTTAATTACAATATCGACAAACCGATATAACATAAAAAATTGGGGTAAACAAAATAAAATTTTGAATTTTTCATCATTTTCAGTTTCAAATGTGCAGAAGTTGATGCGACGACTGCTCTGCAACTAGACAACAAATATGTCAAAGCATTTCAAAGAAGAGGCTATGCTAGATTAGCATTAGGACAACTTCAAGAAGCAAAAGTTGATTTTGAAGAAGTTTTAAAAATTGAACCGAAAAATTCTTTGATGAGTTTAGAAATAAGCAAAATAAATAGTAAATTAAACAAAGAAATGAAATTAGCTCAATCGGAAAAAGACAAAACTTCTTTTAATCCCAAAAATATATTTAAAAATGAAAAAGAAAAAACAATTACTGTTTCAAAAAAAACCAAAGAATCTGAAAAAGTATTAAGTTCAGATAATGTATCTAAAAAAAATTTTAATAAAAATTCTGAAAAGGTAATTAAAAAAGAATCTACTTTAGACATTTCTAAAGTACATCAAAATAGAGGTGATGGCGACAAAGCTTCATCGCCTACCAAGAAAACTGACACAGAAGGATCTGAAATCTTTGGTAAACTACCAGATAATTGTCATTTAATTTATCCTATACAAATTCCACCTCATAAAAGATCAAAGGTATTTTTTAATAAAGTGTTATTAGTTGTTTTTTTTTAATTTGAATTTAATATAAATTAAAAATTTTTTTTCGTTTTTATAGAAACCCCTTAGAAGAATCAATATTGTCGAAGTCAGCGAAGAAAAATATGGTAGAGCAATGTATGATTTTTTACAAAAAAATTCAGAAACATTAAATTTGAAATCTGAATCAGTTTCGAATATTCAAAAGGAAAATGTTACTTGTCAGAAAATAATACAAGTTCCTGTGACGAATGAAAATTACACATTAGACATTCCGAAAACTTCAGTTCAATTTCAAAATTGTTGGAAGGTGATAAGAAAAAACCAAAAGAGGCTTACGAGTATTTAATGGTGTGCATTTAAATACAATTTTTTTTTTTTGACAAATTATTATTACTACACAATTTTAATCACTTTTTAATTATTTACAAATTTTAGAAAATTTCCGGAAAACTCCCACAAATATTTAACAATTCTTTAGAAAGCGATTTATTCAGTGAAATAATAACATTTTTAGCATCCGATTGCAAAGAAAAAAATTTGGATGTCGTATATTCCATACTCTTAGATCTAACCAATGTGAAAAGATTCAGTTCGATGATTTTATTCATGTCAAAAGAAGATAAAGATTGTAAGTGTTTAAATAATATTTTTCTTTTAATTACCATTGTTTGATTATTAATTTTTTTTTTTTTTTTTTTTAGCTCTCAAAAAGTGTTTATCCGATATAAGTGAAATTAAAACCAAAGAAGAAATTTGTAATATTCAAAAACTTTACGAATTGAAATAGACACTCCGACATTTTATGCATTTAAATAAAAATTAATTTAGGCATTCGATAAGCATCAAACTTGTTAATTATAATAATAATAATTAACTGAAAAGATTTGATTGTTTATGATTTTTATAATTGTTTAAAAAAAAAATTTTTATAACTTTACAATGTCTGTAAAGGTTCATTTATGTAAATAAAATTTTTTTTAAATAGGAAATTAAAATGAAAGAATAACATTTTTTTTTAATTTCAAATTGAAGACTCTTCTTCAAAATTTATTTATTTAGTTTTTTTGCGTTATAATTATTATTAATACCCTTTTTTGTTGTTGTTGTTGTTGTTGTCCTTGAATTTTACAATAAATCTAAAAAAAAAAAAAAATTGGCATAGTAATTGGCAAACAGCTATTTTTGTAAACATGTTTTGATCATTGATGACATCATATGGTCTGATGTTACTGCGTCAGTGTTATTAAGGTCTTATGGATAAATAAATAAAATTTTTTTTTTTACGCGGTATTAAATTCAAATTGTTTATTTATACAGTTAGTGGAAATTAAAACGCATTTTAAATAAAACGTTTAAATAAAGCGATTGATTTTTTTAATAAAAAAAAACTTTTATTATATTTACGGGTTAATTAAACAAAAAAAAAAAAAAAAAATTAATTTAATAATAATAATTACGTGAATAATGATAATGTTGTGAAAATAATAAAAAATCATATAAAATTATTGTGAGTATCCGAAATTATTTATTTATTTTTATTAATAATTTCGATATATTTTTTAATAATTATTGTACGTTATTTTTTTTTATATCAAGAACAATTTTTTTTAAAAAATAGTTTTTGAAATTTATCTGATTTAAATTTATCATCTTATAAATCTTTTAATGATAGCGTCAGTGGTTGTTTATTATTATTATTATTATGTATAAGCATCTTCTGCTAGTGATTTTTAATTACATTATGCGCAACAAAAAGAAAAAAAATATGTTTTTTATGTCAAATGACAAATTTTGACAAATTTTTTTTATTAATTTCGAATGTATATATTTATTTATTTAGTTACAATAAATATTATTATTTATTAAGTTTTTTTTTTAATGAAATTTTTTATAAATATATATGTACATATATATATATATATATTTATATGTTTATTTAAAATGATTTGGGATAATTCAATTAAAATTTTAATTACATTTACATAAAATATTTTTCTGTTAAATTTTTTGTTATTTTTTTTTTTTTTTTACTTTTATTATTATTATTAATTTTAAAATATTTAAATGAAGTTTTTTTTTTTTTAATTATGATGATAAAAAAATGAAAAATTTTCTTTTAAATTAATATATATATATATAATATTAATGAAAATAAATTATTACCAAATTTTAGTATACATATAACATTCACATCAAATGAAGGTATTGTATATTTTTTTTTTTTTTTTTAAATTTTTTAATTTGAATTCTTTAATTGACCCATTTTCGATTGAAAAAATAAATATTCCATTAAGTTTCCATGGCACTAGGTCATTGCTAAGTGATAATATCATTTTATTTGAAAACAATGCAATAATATGGAATATTGAATTTTGAAAACAGTGCTTGATTATATTTTTATCATTTTATATATATATATATTTAAAAGTTGTATATAAAAGTTTTAATTAAAATGTTTTATTTTTATTTCAGTGGATTTGGAAAAACGATTACAATTGAACATCGGATAAATCGCAAACATGAGCGTAAATCATTGGAAAATGATCAATTACATTAGAGATCATTTGGCAAAATCTGTGGCAGACAAAAGTACAGCTTTAATAAATTTCAATAAAGAATGGGTTGGAGTTATTAAAAAAATTCCAGAATTGACTGAAAGCATCACTGCTGATTTTACTGATAAAAAACAAATTTTAAGTTCTAATATACAAAAATCTATTGCTAGTTCTGAAATGCCGAAAACGATAAATGATCTTAAATTAAAGTTAGTACAAAAAAAAAATGCTCAGACGGAGGAAAAAGTAAGTTGGAAAAACAGGAAAACTACAGTCTCTGATTTAAGTATTAATGCCAGAACTAATTGTATTTTAAGTTCAATAGAAAAGGCTGAATCTGATGATTATAGAACTGAAAGGTTAGAAATTTTAATTGAACACTTTTATCAGTATCCCGAGGGGATTGGTAAAGCGGTAAAAATGGGAGCAATATCGAAACTTTTAAGGATCAAAAATAATACAAAAAATTTAGAAATAAAAAAAGTTATAAATGAAGCTTTAGCAATTTTGGGATATATAAATCCCCTTCCAAGTCAGGGTATTAGGATATTGGCCATAGATGGAGGTGGCATAAGAGGTTTATTAGTTATGGAAATGTTGGCAAAATTTGAAGAATTAACTGGGAAAAAAATCAATGAACTTTTCGATTACATTTGTGGTGTTAGCACGGGATCAGTAATTGCATGTACAGTTGGTGCTAGTGGAAAATCAATAGATGAAATTTCAGCTTTATATAGAGAATTAGGGAATAAAATTTTTAGTCAAAATGTTTTTTTCGGTGCCAGAAGTTTAATTTGGAATCATGGTTATTATGATACTGCTTTGTGGGAAAAAATATTAAAAGAACATGTCGGTGAAACACCATTAATTAAAACATCAAGAAATCATCCTTATCCTAAGGTTGTAATTGACAATTTTAAAATTATTATTAATTTTTATCTTATTTTATTTTATTGAAATTTTATTGTTAATTTTAATTTATAGATTGGTGTGATATCTACTGTTACAAATCATGACCAAATAGTACCATATATATTTAGAAATTATGAATTACCTTATAGAGTTAAATCGAAATATCTTGGAAGTTATAAACATCAATTATGGGAAGCCACTAGAGCATCTGCAGCAGCTCCAACTTATTTTGAAGAATTTAGTTTAGGAGATTTTTTACATCAGGTAATGAAAATGTTTTGTATCTTTTTTATAACTTTTTTAGCAATAGAACAAAAACTTAGTAAAAACAAAATTTTAATACAATTTTAAAATTTACATATCGTTGAACTTTTCTTTTTCAGGATGGAGGTGTTTTGGTCAATAATCCTACAGCATTAGCTGTTCATGAAGCGAAACAATTATGGCCTAATAATGAAATACAATGTGTTGTTTCATTTGGTACAGGCAGATTAGATCCTCTCAGTATTGAATCTGTTAAAACGAAAAAATCTGCCGCCAAACAAACATCGTGGAAAGAAAAATTTTATAATATTTTAGTTAGTGCCACCGATACAGAGGGTAAGCATTTGTATTTTACTCATAAATATCCAAGATGAACATTGAAGATGTGTGTGATTTATTAAAAAAAAAATTTTTTTTATTAATTCTTAGCTGTACACATGATCCTTAATGATTTATTACCACCGTCAGTGTATTTTCGTTTTAATCCATTTGTAACGCAATTACTTTCAATGGATGAATGTCAACCTGAAAAGTTAGATTTACTAAAACAGGATGCTTTGATGTACATTAGAAGAAACGAAGAAAAATTTAGAGAAGCTGCCAATGCTCTTGTTAAAGAAAAGACGATTTATCAAAAAGCTAACGATTGGATAAATGAAAAGTGTGTTGAGTACAGTAATAGATATAATTAAATATTGATTATTGTGTGTTGTTACCATCCAAAAAAATGACATTTTTTAAAATTTAAAAAAATCTGTAAAAATGCATTATCTAGTAGAATTAACATTTACACAATAATAAATTCAGTATATTTCAATTCTATTGTCTCAAACTATAATTAATAATTTTATAGAGTATATTGAATTTAATCAATAATTTATCTGCTTGAATTTATAAAAATGGGTTAGGAATATTTTCTTTTATTCGGCAAAAGGAAATAAAAAGGTATTTAAAAAGTTGACAAACAAGTTTATTTCTCTTCTTGTTCTTTTAATATCCATTTGAGATATTGAAAATGAATGTCTAGTCAAAACTTGTAATAATTGTGATAATCAAAAAATGTAAATTAAAAAAGAAAGAAATATTTAAAAAATGGTAGGTTTTACAATATATATATTAAAAGATATCTTTTAATGTGTTGATGTCTGATACAAAAGATGTTAATTGAAATTGTTTAAACATAATAATTTACAATAATTTTTATTGAGAAAATAATTGAAGCAAAAAAATTATTTGCCATGTTGTTGTTGAATGTAAAATCTTATTAATAATTAGTTACCAAAGCTTATTTTATAGTAATATTTAAATTAATATTTACATATAGTTTTAATAATTTTATTTGTGATTAATAAGTTTATATCTTGCTAACATTAATTTTTATTTTTTTACATAAATCAGAAAAATTTTAATTTTTTTTTTTTTTTACCAGAATCTTGCAAACTATAAGAATTTGTAATAATTTTTTATTTTATACAATACATATATACAATACTTCTTTTTTTTTTGTAAAATTGTTTATTAAATTTAATATAATCTGTTATGCATAGGTCAGGAAGAAATAATACTGGATCTAACGGCTGCCGAGATAATTGGATTCGGATCAGGTTCTTCATTAATTATGTCAACCTTAATCCACTTTTTAGACATGCTTGATTTTTTAAGAGCATTTATAACAGCTTGAACATACAATCCATCTTCAAAAGAAGCTGCATCTGCAACAGGACCTTTAACCCAACCTGTTTTATCTTCGACTGGTAAAAAAGCTTCTTTTAACGCTCCAATCATTTTGTAAAGGCCTTTGAGGTATGGAATGGGAAGTGAAGAATCAGTAGGAAAATTAAAAACTTCCGTGTCTGAATATAAAATTTCATCTTTTTCACAAAATCTGATCAAGTCACAACCTTTGGCTAACAAATGACCTTTAGTTCCACATACTAATATTTCTTGAGAAAATGATCCATTCAAATGATTGTTTAAATTTGCAGTTACAGTGCAACCCCCCTCTAATTCCATTTGAAATGTACAAAAATCTGGAGATGATATATGTCTAATTCCATTAATTTGCTGAGTTGTTTGAATGAAAGTCTTAATTATAGCATGAACTTTTTGAGCTTTTTTATTAGTCAAATGTTTTATTAAGTCTATTACATGACTACCGACAAGAGCTAAAGTTCCTCCTCCCATTGAAGCATCACACAACCAATCATACTGTTCATGAATTAAACTTCCCATTCTAACTTGAACATCGATAAGAGTCAAGTCTCCTATGGTGCCTTTTGATATTTCTTCTTTCATTCGAATAAAAGTAGGTAGAAACCTGAGACTGTGATTAACAATAGAAATAAGAGAAGGATAATACTGTGCAGCGTGAACCATTTTTAAAGCCTCATTTTGACACAACCCAGCTGGTTTATCACAGAGTACATGCTTGCCTATACCTAATGCCTTCACGGAAATCTGTGCGTGAAGGTTAGGTGAACACATAATAAAAATTAAATCAACATCTTTTCGGAGTAAAACGTCATCAATTTTTGTAGTGTAAAAGGGCACTCCCAGCTCTTGAGCTGTTTGAGAAGCCTCTGCTAAGGACCTTCCCCATAAAGCTTCAACTTTAAATCCTTTACTTTTTAATATTGGCACAATAATTTTAACAACACTTCCAGTTCCAAATACTCCAATGCCCGGCAGCATATTAAAAATACATTTAAAAAATAAAATAATGTAACTAAAAAAAAAAATTTTTTTAATTAAAAAACTAAAACCGGGCTGAAAACGTCCATTGGAAAGTAGTTTAAATTGTAAACACTAATCATTAACTTTAGCAAAAACAAAAAAAAAAATTCTTTTTGCTATCAGTATTTTCGTTTTAGCCGTCAAGTCTCAGTTAACAGTAAGTCAGTGAACTGTAAACGTCTTTCTTTGGTCGCAGTCTTAGTTATATTTAAATTTTAAATAATTATCATGAGTGAGGATTCAAAACATTCTTCGAGAAATAAAGAACTACAATTAAACACCGATGATCTGGAAAACAATTTATCATTAACAGAAGCTGATAGTCCCCAAAATGGCGCTAATTCTGCTTTTAAAATTTCATTAAAGTCTCCAAGTAATGGTGATGGTGATTCTGATATTCAGGTAAAATTATTTGTTAATGATTCTTCCAATACCAGGGAAAAATGTATTGGAGAAGCTGCGATGGCATCATTTTCTGGATTATCGAAAGAAGAACTACTTAAATATGCCAACGATCCTTTTTGGATTAAAATGCGATTACTGCTTTTTGTATTTTTTTGGATTGTCTGGATAGCAATGTTTATCGGTGCTGTTGCTATCATTGTACTGGCTCCTCCTTGCGAACTTCCAAAACCTCCGAAATGGTACGAGAAAGGCCCACTTTATGAACTTGATGCAGAAAAATTTGTGGCTGATGAAAAACCACAAAATATTTTACAATCACTGAAATCCAAATTAGATTATTTGTCTGATTTGAAAATATCTGGTTTAATTTTATCACCGATATTTCACTCTGAAGAAAAAGATGAAAGCGTTTTGGACTTTACATCATTAAATGAAAACATGGGTACATTTAATGATTTTGAAGAATTAATTAAAGAAGCAGAAGATAAGAAAATCAGTATTGTACTCACTTTTATACCGAATCATTCAAGCAACAAACACATTTGGTTCAATAATTCTATTGCTAAAAAAGCTCCTTATGATGATTATTATATTTGGGCACCTGCATCCGGAATTACTTCAAACGGTTCGAAAATTCCTCCCAACAACTGGTTAAGCGTAAATGGTAAATTCAAAAATTATTTTGTAATGTAGGAAACATAATTAAATTTTTCACAAAACTAAAAAATTTTTTGTTAAACTAAATTTAGGTGGATCTGCTTGGGAATGGGTAGAAGAGAGACAAGAGTTTTACCTTCATCAATTTGATATCGATCAACCTGATTTGAATTATCACAATCCTGACGTTATAAAAGAATTGGATAAAATCTTTACCTTTTGGTTGGAAAAAGGTGTAAAAGGTTTCAACTTAGATAAGGTTTGCATCTTTTTAAATTTCCTGTATTTTATTCTTATCAAAAAACACATGCTAACACTTTTTTTAATTTGTTTTTTTCTTTTTTTAGGTTCAGTACCTTTTAGAAGATAAAAAGTTGCAAAACGAAATCCCAAATGGAAAACCTGGAGTCGTTCATACCCAGTATGAATTTTATTCTCATTTTAAAACTCATAACATCCCAGAAGTTGGCAATATATTGGCAGAGTGGAGAAAAAAAATCAAAATGAAAACAGATGATGGAGTATTGATTATTACTGGTAAGTAAAAAATGATTCAATCAAATAATTGACTAAAAAAAATTAATTTTTTTAATTTAAATTTTCAGGTGATGTTCCCATACCGACAGACAGTAATTCTACAACTGTTTATGTTGACATTAGTAGAAGTGAAAAACTTTTAAAAAATTTAAAAAAAGATTTCACAGCAAATGATTTACATTCTCAACTTTCTACATTCGCTGAAAAACAATGGTCGGCTGTGCAGTTGGGAGATCGTTACATGAAAAGAGTTTCCGATTTGCTCGGTGAAAAAGTAATAGATGGACTAAATATGATCATACTTCTTTTACCTGGTAATTTAACTTTATAAAAATTATTTACTTTTGAACTTTAGAAATTTTAAATTGTTTCCATTTATTTTTAGCTACTCCAATTGTATATTTTGGAGAAGAGTTAGGTTTATCAGAGAGGACACCTTTCAGTTGGGGAGAAGGAGAATTTGGAGTTGCTGGTCAAAAATTAGCAAACGAGAGTCATTATAAAGTATTTAAGGCTTTGGTTAATGTCAGAGAGTCACAATCAGTATTATATGGAGCTACAAATTTAACTGTAAGTTTTTTTATTTTTAATTACAAAAAGAAAAGACGTAATTACAATTGGAATGATTTGGTTTTAGGTCGTGAATGATAGCGTCCTTGTCCTGACTCGTATCAAGCTGGGTAATCCCGGGTTCATGGTTGCTTTTAATCCATCACCAAATGACATAACCGTTGATTTATCACAAATGGATTTCATCCCCGGGGATTTGATGATTTTTGCCAAAAGTGTGAACAGCGGTTTACAAAATGCAACCGAACAAGATAAAATGAAAAGCCACGAAGTATTTTTATCGTCGAAAACTTCCATCGCATTTAAATTCGCTCCGAAAACAGAAGAATAATTAAAATTTATTATTTAGCTTATGACGTAATTGGTTTTTAATTTATTTAAAATGTGGTTGTCTATAATAATAATAATAATAATAATTGAAAAGTGATGTAAAGAAACAGTCAGTATTTATAAAATAGGTTACAATGTCGTCAAAATTTATTATTTAAATACAAAATCTGATTAAGAATCTCTTTTATTTTAACAGATGATTATTGATTCATAAAATTTTCTTAAACTATGTACCACAGTCAGGCTTAAATAACCTTCAATTAAAAAATTTTCTAATGTCATTCATAGTCTATTAATTATTAAAAAAAAAAAAATTTTCTGTTTTCAATTCGCTTATGACCTTGTAAAAATCATTTTTTTTAAACGTTTTAAAAAGTCAAGTATTATTGTGAATGTATTTAAATGTAACTTATCAGTATTTAAATGTGAATGATAATTTTACCCGTTTGAAAATTTCTTTTATTAATTATTATTATTAATAAAATCTTTTTTTTTTAAATTTAGCTTTGCTTTATTTGTACATTTAAAATATTGTATGGAAAAACATGTTTATTTCGTGTAGTAAAATATAATCTCAAATAAATAATTTATCGGGTAAAAATTATTTTATTAACTGTAATCTTATTTTTAAATTTATTTTCTGATTTATTAATCAAAGCTGTATTTGGTATTACCAAAAATTTAATTTATTTATTAAAATAAAAGGATGAGGGGAGGGGGCCGGGAGTTAGTGGCGTGCTCCTGTAATCCAGCTACTTGGAGGCCGGGCGCAGCGGATGACTCTGATCGTGTAATTCGGATCCTACTTGTTGCGCATTTTTAATAAACGGTCGACGGGACGCCTGACCAGCGTTTCCGCCGGCCAACAGGGTATTTAGGGACTTGTTCCCGATGCGCGGCGGTTGAGACCCGTTTTCCCCGATCGCAGACGAAGAGTCAGACCTGTACCTTACCAACTTTCCGGGAGAAAAGAGTGTGGGACTCGGCACTTTTCTTTCAGGGTTTCATCATCCTGCTCCGGGAAAACGGGGATTCGAGCGTGGGATGAACCGAACTTCCTTTCGCGGGGGATCGACTCGTCGTCCGGAAACTCGTCATTCTCGGGGGTGGTTCCCATGCTTAAAGACGGTGCGTGCGATTCATTCCAATGGCAGAAAGAAGATGCGAACAAAGATGAAGATCGGGACGACGACGTCGGAATCCCCACCGGTCGGATTCTCGCTCTTCGGACTGCAAGAGCCAATCGGACGGTGGCAGGGGCGAAACGCGGACGGACTGCGGGGGATGTTTCGTCGGCAACCTCGGAACTTCTCACCGCCTCCGGAAGCTCACTTCGTCTCTGCGGAGAAGGCACGAGCGGCGTGGGAGGTCGCGACCGTCCCCCAAGGTACGAGGGAGGAAAGGATTCGTCCCTCGGTACTCCGAGTCGGGCTCCGGATCTCTTTCTCGATTACGTCGGGGAAAGATTCGTCCTGGCTTCGGTGCGTCGGCGTACTTCGCGGGATCGGAGTCTGGCAAACTTCGGTCGTCGCGGAGTCGTCGAGGGGGGGAAACGGGGATTAATGTTTCTGATTTTCAGGTTCATGTCTTCGATCTTTCTCCCGGAGCGAGCAGCGGCAGGGGCGCGTAAGTGATGGAAACGGGCGGTCCGGCCGGGAGTAGCGAACCCGTCCGTGTCGTCCGGTTCCGGAAGATTACATAGAATCCCATCAAGGTGACCCTATCTTAGCCCAAGTTATACATACGGAAGAAAAAATTACAAAAAAAGGAGTACTGAAAAGAGCAAAAAAAAATCGTCCAAGAAAATACGAGAAAACGAGATAATGGAAGAAGGGCAACTTGCAACTTATGATAGCAAAGCCGAATCTTAGAAGAAATTATGTCAATATCTCCATTGGAGTATATGCCGAGAATATGGAATGGATGGATTACCCAAAGAGTGGTACAATCACATTCCAAGCCCGGTTACGACAGTAGGTCCATGCACAGTTCTGTATGATCAACAAATCCACACTGATAGAACAATCAACCTCAGACATAATGCGGAAAAATGGTGTAAGTTATTTGAGGTATCCGTGCCGACAGAAAAAAACACAAGACAGCCAAAGAAGCAGACAAAAGGCTGAAATATAGAAATTTGGAAATTGAAATAACCAGGATGTGGGGAACAAAAACAGAAACGATTCCGGTCATCGTGGGAGCATTGGGAGCCATGCCACATTCAATGAAAGGAAATTTAAAGAAGATTATGAAGAACCTAAAAGAAGAAACCATCCAGGAAATCGCACTATGTGGGACGGCCCACATTCTTCGGAAAATATTATAAATAGCACCACCGAAATTCGAGTATTTGTCCCTAAGGAATCGGGTAGAAACCTGGGATAAATACTTAAAAACCCCGACAAATAAGAGCCTTGTCGTGTTTAAGAGTGACCATAATAATAATAATTAAAATTGATTAAGTTGACATACGTTTACATCATGTCAACTTATTAAATTAATTTTTAATAATTTTATTTAGTGATTTAGTTATAAGAAGTTATGTATGTATCAAAAGTTTTGTAATTTAGTCTAATTTATTGTAATATAATTATTTTTTTTTATATTAAATATTTGTTTTTTATTTTGTACTCCTGATTTTAAGCGAAAATTCACTAATACCATTTTATTTTTTATTAAAAAACCTCCTTGGATCTTATGTTTTACGGATACATCGGAAAAAAAATTTTCGATTAAAAATTAAGTTAAAAATGACCGCGAAAATCCAACGTTTACGATTTATTCTAAAGTAGGTCGACCTTGAATACAAGGCCATTAGTTTTACATTTCAATTTTGTGAAATTTTTCATGGTCATGATTTTTCAACCAAGGTCGACCTTGAATACAAGGCCACCAGTTTTAAAATTTAATTTTGTGAAAATTTTCATGGTCACGTTTTTGCATTCAAGGTCGACCTTGTATATTTTACCTGACACACATTTTATTTTAAGCGGGAATCCATTGTTTGAATTTTATTTTTTTCTATACCTCCTTGGGTATTATGTTTTTCTGATACATTTGGCCAAAATTTTCGATGTTTTTTAGGTAAAAAAATTGAAATTTGTATATTGTGTATAAGGATGTACATTAAGGATGAAAAAAAAAAAAAGAAAAATTTTAATTCACAATAATAAATTATATTTTTATTAAAATTAAATTTTTTTATGTCTTTTTTTCCCCATAATTATTCAACATGTAATTTTATGCAATTATAAAACGCATAAATAAATAAATTGAAAAAAAAAAAAAAAAAGTTTACATTTTTTCATTGAAGGGGAGAGAGGATAAATTTACAATAAAACTTAAAACGATAAAATCATACAAGAACAAAGGGCGTTCAAATCAATTTTTTTTTTCTGCACGATCACAATAAGTTTAATAATAATAATAATAATAATATTTTGTTTTAACTCGAAACGCGTTTTCATATAAAATAAAATAAAACTTGACTTATTATTATTGAATTACATTTTATACTTATTTTAGTTTTTCTTATACTTTGACTAACATTAATAATAATAATAATAATATTGATGACAATATCGACAGTGATAATAATAATAAAATTATTTAAAATCAATCATCGAATCATGAAATTAAAATAAATAAATAAAAAATTTAAAAAAATAGCATTTTTTTAGATTATTATTTCTCTTAACCTAATTCATTTTTTTCTCCTTTATCCTCTCTACCCCCCGCAAACGACGACGTCATTTCCGTTCTATACGAAAAACCAAAAGAACAGATTAAAAAACGAAAAGAAAAACTCGAATTTCCCAAGCATTGTGCGCTGCGAAAATCATTTCGACCGGAAATTTTTTTTTTTTTTTTTCCTATTTTCTTCTTCCTTTTCCTTTTCTTTTCCTTTTGGTTTCTTCTTTTTCCACCTCCTCCTCCTCCTCCTCCTTCTTCTTTTTTCCTCTTTCCAATCAATCATCTTCGTCTTCGTCATTGCTATTCGTGTACTTTGGTTGAGTTTTCCTCCTTCTTGTGCTTTCTCTTCCCTCTCCTCCTCTTCCACCTTTTCATTTTCATTCTAACGGATTCCGAATCGGAATTTCCATCCTCGTCGTCCACCGTCTGAAAATTTAAAAAATCAAAATAAATAAAATTCGACAAATAATAAAATCCGAACGACGGGATTCTCTCATCATCACCTTTATCCTCATCCGTTTCCGCATCCTGTTCCAATCTTTGTCTCGCGTTCGTAAACACGGATTGAAGGACGATCGAATCTTCGTGTATTAGAGAAGCTTCTTCGTTGTATATTTGAGCATTTTTACACATTTGAGTAAAATCCTTTTCCAAATCGTCAAAATCCGAATACTGAAACAACAACGACAAGAGTCAGAATGAAACTTTTCCCCCCACCTCCTCCCCTCAGCTTACTTTTCCATCTTCTATCCTGTTAAATATTTTCTTTATAACCAAAGGTTTTTTCGCTGAGAATTCTTCCATCACTAAAATTAAAACCAACAAAAAAGTTAAACACGAGAGAGAGGGAGAGACAGAGAGAGAGAAAGGGAGAGAGAGAGAGGGAGAGAGAGAGAGGGAAAGAGAGAGAGGGAGAGAGAGGGAGAGAGAGAGAGGGAGAGGGAGAGAGAGAGAGGGAGAGAGAGAGAGAGGGAGAGAGAGAGAGGGAGAGGGAGAGGGAGAGAGAGAGAGGGAGAGAGAGAGAGAGGGAGAGAGGGAGAGAGAGAGAGGGAGAGAGAGAGAGGGAGAGAGAGAGAGGGAGAGAGAGAGAGAGGTCATTAGGTCAATAATTGATTACCTTTCTTTCCGCTTCTAATTTTTGCTGTTTCTCAAGTTTTTCAGTTGCTCTTGCTTCTCTCAAACCTTGATGTTTGGTTCGTTTGTACGCTTTTACATTGACGGCAGTTTCTAGCGTGGTATAGCGACGCGTACAAGCTATAATCTAAAAGACAAGCTACAAATTAAAAAGAAATTTACAAAAAATTTGTTTAAATTTAATGAAAAATAATTTTACTAACTTCACTTTTTAACTGCCTTTGAAAATTTAAAAGTCTCAATGATCTCAACTCGATTTCGAAGCTCGAAGTTTTAAATCTTCAGCCATCAAAGTTGGTAAATTGTTAAGTACGTTGATTCTCATTCCGATCCGAGCTGCTTTCCTACAAAGTTGATGCAAAGCAAAATGTTAATCGTCACGAAATGTCACGTGATAAAAATTCCAACATGCAAAAGAAGCCAATTTTACCTGTTTTCTCTTTCTTGAAGAATTGTGAGAGGATCTAATCCCATGGGTTTAGGTATTGCAGTGACTCGATTTTGTTTGGCCGGCGTTTGACCGGGTGTGGGTATGGCCGTCGTTGTTCCAGGTCGCACGGAGGTCGTGGGAGGAAGAGATCCGTGTTGAGGTTAAACGATACCTCCAGGTCCTAAAATATTAAAATTACCGTATTTCTTAAATTCCATGCAAAATATATGGCAAAAAAAATGTACTTGAAATGCGGCCAATATGAAAACATACCATAATAAACCATAGGGTAAACCTTGCCACATTATAATATCATAATTTTCTCCTGATCTAAGATAAGTCCAAACATCATGGAAATAATAAATGGCGCCAAATAATCATTTTCCTTTTTTCATAAAACTCTTTAGTTTTAGGAGCAAAAAACTGGTTTAATGCAGTTTTGACCTCATTGTCGTTTTGGAATTTTTGTCCATTCAAAAAATTTTTTAGGGATCGGAAAAAATGATAATTATTTGGAGCTAGTTTGGGACTATATGGAGGGTGCAGCAAAACATCCCAGCCTAGCTCCAGTAGTTTTTGTCCAGTGGCTAAAGATGGGGAGGGCCTGGCATTATCGTGGTGAAAGACAATTCCTTTTCTATTGGCTAGCTCCAATCGTTTTTCTTGGATGGTATCATTTAAATTTGTCAATTGTCGAATGTAAACCTCTAAATTTATGGTCTGATTTCGTGGCAGCAGCTCAAAGTTGACTATGCCTTTGTAATCCCACCAAAATGATGACAGTATCTTTTTTTGCTTTATGTCAACCTTAGAAGTTGTTGGTGCCTGTTTCCTTGCCTAGACCAGGATCTTTTTCTCAAAAAGTCATCATAAACAACCCACTTTTCATCTCCGGTCACCATTTCCTTCAAAAATGGGTCATTCGCATTACGTTTAAGAAGCATATCACAAAGACCAAGTTGTCTTACACTCCCCAAGGTTATGCAACAAGCTTCTTTTGGTATCCAAGACACAGTAGGTAGTTTTGAAGGCACTTATGTGACACATCTAGCTTCTCTGCAATGTCCCTTGTCGAACTATGTCGATCATTAACAATTACGGCCTTTCTTTGGTCATCATCGACCTCTACTAGACACCCAGAGCACTCCTCATTTTTCAAAGAAAAATCTCCAGAATAGAATTTCGCAAACCTGATGTTCTATTAACGCTTCATCACCGTACACAGCCCACAACTTTTTATTGGCTTGTGAAGCATCAACACCCTTTCAGAAATAAAAAAGCAAAATGTGGAGGAAGTGCTCGCTTTGGCTCCCCATGTTTAAATGTCTTTTGCTCGCGCACTATTTAAGAGTTCAATGAAATTTCGGTACTGAATGTTACAGAAGGAACCAAGTAATAACATACCAAAAGTTCATGTTTGTACATAAACGTAAACGTACTCAAAAAAATGGACAAACTATCTGTTGGTAAAATGCGCAGTTACTTACTGGCCAACCCAATAATTTACATAAAACAAATTATTTAACGAAAATATTCATGTACTGGCTACGTTAAAAGCTTCCATATTTTTATAAGTTCCACGTTAAAGTGAAATACATTTTTCTAATGACACTTTATTTACCATCGATATAATTAAGTTTAAATTGATGTCTATGGTTTTTTACATATTACTTTTATTTTTACTATTTCCCATTGTGGGTTATTTTTCCTGTATTAATTTCAAATAAAAATCATAAAATTTGTTTTTAAAGAAATTACAAAATGCACGGGAGAGTCAAAATAAGAACGACAGAAAAACAAAAAGAACTCGCAAGACAAGAGAAACAGAAAAAGGCAATAGAATTTAAAAAAATTATGAATCAAATATTAGAAAAACGTTCTTCACAAATGCACGACGAAGAAGGTTTAAATCTCACCGGTAATTTATTAACAGGAAATCCGGATATAATAACATTATGGAATTATTGAAGAGAAATATTTTTGTCGTTGAGAAACGACGAGGACTTGGAGAGTTATCAAAAACTATTGGAAAAAGATTTACAATTGACAGAACAGTGCCTGAGAGTAAATCCAAAATCGTATGGTAGTTGGCATCATAGAATATGAATATTGGACAATTTACCCAAACCTGATTGCAACAAAGAATTAAACCTTTGCACAAAATATCTTCAATTAGACAAAAGAAATTTTCACTGTTGGGATTATCGTAGGATAGTCGCAGAAAGATCAAATGTTTCTCATTTATCTGAATATGAATTCAGTCTAACATGAACACTGTATTAAATTATGTATGTATATGTACATGTGTAATTATGATACCTCGGGAATGCCTCCCACATGGTTGAGGGGAGTATCCCAATTGGGTGGAGCAGATCTCTGAAACAGCCTATGCCAGAGAGGAATCTGCTCTCACCTTTGCGAGTTCGGATCTGATGATTCCGGCTTTGAGAGAAGGGTTGAGGTTGAGGCTGAAATGGTAGTCATACTCCTGCGACTGCCTCTACTCCCCAGGAAAAAGTGCAGCAAAGCACATCCAGGAGTTTTAGTTGGGTAGTGACTTCGTCTGAGTCCCCCAACACTCTTCCTGCTACCGGGTGGGGAGAGGTTAGTGCGAAATCCTGCATTTCTACTGGGTTAACAAAAAAAAAAAAATTTCAAACGTTAAATAATAATAATAATAATAATAATTTTTTTTTTTTATTAGAATCTATAAAATTTACAGCAATTAAATATATTATTTTTTGTGTCAATAATAATAATAATAATAATTATTATTCTGCATGTCTCTAATCCCTCTGTCGAGACAGCTTAATATCAAGGATCAAGGATATGAGTTGGTACCGGGAGGCAGGAAAATCACCCATATGTTGTACATGGATGACCTGAAGATATATGTGAAGAGCGAAGAAGAATTGAAGAAAATGTTAAGGATGATACAAACTTTTTCCTCTGACATCAACATGAAATTTGATTTGGAAAAATGTGCAAAAGTTAATATTGTCGGAAGAAAGTTAAAATGGAAGGAAAATATAGAAGATTCAGAAGAAGAACTTATTAAAGAATTGGACCCTGGATCAACATACAAATATCTGGGGATTAAAGAAAATTTCGGGGTAGCCAACAAGGAAATTAAATCTCGATTGAAGAAAGAATATTTTAAAAGATTGAGGCTTATATTACAGTCGGAACTGAATGGAAGAAATAAGATAACCGCCGTCGGCACATTAGCAGTTCCAGTAATAGAATACAGTTTTGGCCTTGTCGATTGGACAATAGAAGAAATCACGCACCTGGACCGAAGAACAAGGAAAATATTAACTGAGAGTGACCATAATAATAATAATTAAAATTGAAATTGCGTTTACATCATGTCAACTTATTAAATTAATTTTTAATAATTTTATTTAGTGATTTAGTTATAAGAAGTTATGCATGTATCAAAAGTTTTGTAATTTAGTCTAATTTATTGTAATATAATTATTTTTTTTTTATATTAAATATTTGTTTTTTATTTTGTACTCCTGATTTTAAGCGAAAATTCACTAATACCATTTTATTTTTTATTAAAAAACCTCCTTGGATCTTATGTTTTACGGATACATCGGAAAAAAAATGTTCGATTAAAAATCAAGTTAAAAATGACCGCGAAAATCCAACGTTTACGATTTATTCTAAAGTAGGTCGACCTTGAATCCAAGGCCATTAGTTTTACATTTCAATTTTGTGAAAATTTTCATGGTCACGATTTTTCAACCAAGGTCGACCTTGTTTACTGTTTACGCTAAGTAGGACGACCTTGTATATTTTACCTGGCGCACATTTTATTTTAAGCGGGAATCCATTGTTTGAATTTTATTTTTTTCTATACCTCCTTGGGTATTATGTTTTTCTGATACATCAGATTAAATTTTTCACTCCGAAACATCAAAAAAAAAAAAAAGGGGGGGGGGAGGAAAAATAAATCTCAACAAAATAATATGCTCAATTAATTTTTATTTGTAATAATAATAAATATAAAATAAGAATTTAACAGTAAATAACAATAATAATAATTTTTTTAATTAGCTGCAAAATAAACCCGATTATTCAAATTAAACCGGAAATTATTTTTAAAAAAATTTCTTTAACGGTTTAATTATAAAAATATAAAATTAATACATTTTTATCTTTGTTGACAAATAAAAACAACAAAAAAAAAAAAAATAAGAAAATTAAATTAAATTAATTGAAACAAATTTTTTTAAATTGCTCATTTGTAAATAATATATATATATATATATATTAATAATAATAATAATTGGCCCAATTAATAATATTTTTTTTTTTTTTCAAGTCTTATTTTAAAGTTTTTTTTTTAAACGAATCGATCCCATTAGTGCATATAAATATTTAAATATATAAAATAATTATTTATGAGAATAATAATAATACTAATTTCATTTTAATCAATAAGGTTATTGGGATAAATATAAACATTTAAGTAAATAAAATAATTGACAAGTTGTTTTGTTTTAATACTTTAACTTTGGTATCACAATTAAAACCTTTGGGTTGTCATCATCATTGGTAATAATAATAATAATAATAGATCAACATGTTTTTTCTTCTTCTCCTTCTTCTTCTTCTTCTTGATTTCTCGCCAAATAAATAAAAATTTGTTCTAAATTTGTTTCGCTTGCCGTGTACGATTCAATAAAATCATGTTCGTCTTTCAATGTTTTTAATTTTGAAAAAAGCGAAGACCACGACGTGTTTCTCTTCGGCACGAAATATTGATGAATGGTCAAATGTTCGTCTACCAAATTACAACCCGTGCCGAAAGTATCCGTGAATGATTTTTTTAATTTTTTTAAATTTTCATCCGCCGTACCGCAACTCACTTTTATTTGCACCGTATAACCTTGACCAAATTTTTCTTTCAACGTCGTTATTTCACCGAGACAACAAAATCTTCCTTCTATCATAATGGCAAGCCTTGAACAGAGAGCTTCGCATTCGTCCATGCTAAAACAAAATACAAAATACTTAATCACCACCTTCAACCTTTTCACAATTCTTAATTTTTTTTTTTTTAAAAAAAATGGAAACCTGTGAGATGTCAACACGACGGATTGTTTCCTTTTTTGAATTTCACTTATAACGTCCCACATCACGCGACGGGATGCGGGATCCACTCCGCTCGTGGGTTCATCCAGAAAAATCAAAGGACAATCACCGATCAACGATATGGCAGTGCTGAGTTTCCTTTGATTCCCACCGCTGTAGGTACCGCATTTTTGATCCGCCAGTTCCTAACGCGTTAGAAAATTGACAAATTTTTATTTTCATCGAATTAAAGGACACAAACCTTTTTTTTTTTTTTTTTTTCAACACTACTCACGGTGAGTTCTAATTTTTCCAACCATTTCGATGCTTCCATTTCGATTTGACATCCTGTTATCCCTCTGAGACGACCGAATAATTCCAAAAGTTCTTTTCCTTTGAACGAAGAAATCAAACCACCGGATTGAGGACAGTAACCGATGTGAAGTAAATACTGTAATGAAATAAAATTTGATTATAAATGTGAAAATCACCAAAGGTTTACATAACACATTCAGAAGAAAAAAAAAAATCCAACCCTTTTCCTATTGAGAAGAGATAAATTTTCCGACCGAGCAAAAATCAAACCGTAGCTTGGTGATAAAGTTCCGGTTAAAATTTTAAACGTTGATGTTTTTCCCGCTCCATTGACTCCCAACAATCCAAAACATTCTCCTTCGTTAACGGTGAACGATATACCTCGAACGGCCGGAGACAGTTTGTTCGATTTAAAATACCATTTTTTTAAATCGTTGACGATCAGGGAAAAACCCGCCGTATCCTGTTTATCGATAACTTTTTCAACTAATAATTTTTCCTCCTTCACCAAACTATCTTCTTTTTTCTTAATATACAAAAGTAAAAATTTTAAAAATTGTTATTTTTTTTTTTTTACAATGTTGGTAGCGACAAGACAACACGTAAAAAAAAAAAAGAAAGACAACTTACGGGTGGATTCAGGTATTCGACTTTGACAAATCTATTAACGAGTATGTGAAAACTTTCCGACATGAATTTCGAATCTTTTAAAATAAGCAAACCGAATAAGAAGGCACTGTAGAGCAATAATGCCAATATATAATGATCTGGAAAAAATGGTGTCGGTTAATGAGCATTGTGGTCCAGAGGAGATGCAGCTAACGCTACGTGGATTAATTACGCGTGTGCACGTGCACGTGCACGCACACACACTAGATGATGAAGTTACCTACTGTAATTTTCGGCGCATAAATTAGAATAACCGACTTTTAATATGCAAGTTGGATGCATGTATTGGAAAAAAGTTGGTAAACCGAGTGACGTGATGGGATTATTTATTATAAAAGCTAAAAAAAAATTAAACGTTACATTAATCGAATGCATAATTAAATAGGGGGAGGGGAGGGGAGGGGGGGGAAACTCACTGAATATAATATATATGATAATGTTCGCTGAAAAAGCTCCGGCTTCGTTTCGAATCAACGTCGATATGAGATATGTGAGCAAAATTAATCCCGTACCCCAGAAAACCAAACTCACAAATATTTGACCTAAAAGAGAGAGAGAGAGAGAGAGAGATAGAAATGTCGTGTAAATAACGAACGTACAAATTTTCGATTGAATTGATAAAATAAAAAAAAAAAAAATTAACCGGCGTATAGGGAAATAAATTCACTTCCGGGTGAAAATCCATAGAGAAGACAAACGACCGTCATGTAAACGGCAAACGAAGCCAAATCGAATATCAAATGAGAAAGCCAATAAACGCTCGCCGGCGCTATCATCAATTGAATTTCTTTAGCCCCGGAAATTTCTTCTTTCAAAGGAGCTATGAAATAAAATAACGTTTGAATTCCGCTGAAATCCGGTATCGTTTCCAACGAACATTTTGGAATTCTCGGCGATATGTAAAATTGTTCCTAAAAAAAGATTTAAAATTTTCTTTTTTTCTTTCTTTCCTTCATTTTCAATTAAAACACTTTTGCGTCATTTTTTAACCTCTCTCACCTTTAGAATAAATTTAAAACTGACTGTTGTAGTTATGGCGGACTCGTTCATTTTTTTCCATTTCAATGCAAAATTATGGATAAGATTTAAAGCTGCGGGTATCATGTGAACGGCTTCGTCGTTGTGAAAAATATGAATTTCTCGCGGTAAAAATTCGACGCCTAAATTTATATTTCTCGAATAGTTGTAAAAATCACTCATGAATATTCTGTGAATATCTGCGTGGGAAAATAATAATTTTTGAGTAAAGTAAATTAAAAAAAAAAAAAAAAAATTGAGTAAATGATGAAACAAATCATACCTTTTTTAACGTTTTTACTCTCTTCCGTTTTCAAATTTAAACTCCGAGCGTATTCCGGAAACGTTTTTCCCGCGCTGTTGTTTTTCACGTTGTAAAAAACCACGAATGGCGAATACAAATCCGTCGAATACAATATCGGTAAACTTTTGTTCACGTCCGTTTTTTTACCACTCGTCTCATTATTATTATTATTAAAATATAAAGTACTTATAACTAGAACTATTGGTAATATCTGCAAATTAAACGTGAGATGACGTAAAAAAAAAAAAAAAAAAAACGTTAAAGTACATTGAATGAGTAACTCAATTTACCGAATACACGAAATAATACTTGTAGGTATTTTTGAAAAAGATAAATTTTTTTATCAGTAGCGCCCAAAATTGATAGAAATACAAATAAAAGTCGGAGACTTTATTCGGTTTCGTTTCGGAGGGATTAATAAGTTTCTTATAAGGCGGTGAATCCGTGGAGTCCAAATTTTCCGTCAATTCGCTTTTGTTTCTCAACCTTTTCATTTACCAAAAAAAAAAAACAATAATAATAATAATAATAATAATAATAAAATCCATAACTTTTTTACATCTATTCTTTGATGATTCTTACTTTAAGAATACATCTTCCAACGTGGCGACGCTTATACCGTAGGATATGATATTTTGCTCGCCTTGTTTTTTATCCAGCTCCGTCAAAAGCGTGGAAAATTTATCGATTTCGCTTTCCGGAAGTTCATACGATACGGTTCGAATATTTTGTGACTTGAATTTTGCGGTCGATACATGTTTTTTAATTATTTTAGTTACATCCTCGACTTGTTCTGAAATACAAAAAACAAGGGAACCCATCAAGTTTCCTAGTAGTACAAGCATTAAATAACAAAAGGTTTTTGACTTTTTTAAAAAAAAATTTACCGATGTCGTTGACGACAATGGAAAGAACGTATCCTCTCCCGTATTTAGATTTTAAAAATAACGAACTTCCGTAACATTGAATTTTTCCACAGCTCATAATTGCAATTCTGTCGCATAAAGCATCTGCTTCTTCCATAAAATGCGTCGTTATTAAAATGGTTCTCGCACCTCTGAGATTCTATAAAAAAAAAATTCTCATTTATTTTCTTAATTACTTCCTATTTCTTATAATTACATTTTTCTTACCAATAGGATTTCCCAAATTTCTCGTCTGATTTCCGGATCCATACCTGATGTAGGTTCGTCTAATATCAAGACCTACAAATCCAATATTTAATTATAATAAAGCGCGTGATATTTTCTACCATCGTTTCCAACAAATAATAAAACAAGGGAAAATCTTACTTTACTCCCACCGATTAAAGCAATCGCGAGGGAAACTTTTCTTTTTTGCCCTCCCGATAAATGACATGTTTGAGTGTTTTTAACCGTTTCCAATTTTAATTTTTCAATGAGTTCCAAACTTTCTGCATTCGCTTCACTAAAGCTCAGTCCTTTTATCTATCGGAAAAAAAAAAGAATAAGGTACTTGATTTTTAATAAATCACTTAATATAGTATACATATATACGTACCACGCCATAAAATTTTAAAATTTGAAAAGTTGTCAAATCGTTAAAGAGCATGTCTTTTTGCGGACACAAACCGAGGCTGTGTCTTGCTTCTTCCAAATTTGTAGATAAATCACATCCGTCAATCAAAACCGTACCGGAAGTAGGACAAGTTAAACCTAGATTTAAAATTAAACAATATTTAATTGATTTTAATAATTTTTTAATTGAAAAAAAAAGATTACATTCAATGAAATAAAAAAAAAAAAAAAACGATTGGTAGACCTGTTATAATGGAAAATGTCGTTGTTTTTCCAGCGCCATTGTGCCCCAATAAAGCGCTTATTTCTCCAGCGTAAAAATTTATGCTGATATCATTAACTGCAATTACTGGAGCTTTATCGGACGAACTGTACACTTTACTGACATTTTGAAGACTTATTCCAACGTCAAGATCAGGCGGTACAGGTTCGTAACAATCAGGCACCACCGTGTTTAAGGCTATATCGGTTTTAAAATTATGAATTTTGGGTGGAAACCAATAAGATTTCTAAAAAAAAAAAAAAAAAAAAAATTAGTCATGTAAAATTACAATCACTTTAAAACTCTAATTACAGTATATTATTATTTATTACATTAATTAAAATATTCACTCCTTATAATATTAATTAAAATAATAAAACTTTCACACAATGTACCTTAAAACAAAATCCATAAGGTTTAGGAATACCAAATTTACTAGGCGTAACTTGTTCCAAATACCAAGTTAACAAAGAATATAATATTGTATTGAAAGACATGATGAGAAAAATTTCTAACAGAGATAAATAATCTTCTTTTCCGGATAGTTTTTCCGTAAATTGAACATCTTTACCTAAAATTACACACGTTGGCATATTAGTAATGATGCATATTTTTATTATTTTAATAATATTTCACTCACCGTAAAAATCGAAATCTAATATTATTGAAATTCCATTCATTAGTGTCACGTGAGGAAAAAGACATATAAGGTATTTGACTAATATGGGCAATTCGATTAAATTGGAAATAAATTGACTGAATATAAAAGATAAACTCCAAATAATTTCCGTGACAAATATTCCTAGACTTGCTGAAAGTAAAGAAGACAAAAAAAAAAAAAAAAAAAAAAATGAATCAATAATGAAAAATGTAAATTTCACAATTATTAATTAACAATAATAAATCGAGTAAAAAACAAAAACATTTTCTCTACCTTTTTCGAAAAAGCAACTGATAAAAAATAAAAATATAATGACTCCTCCAAGTCCATATAAAATCACACTCCATAAAATAAATGGAGACACAGTCAGAGTACTCGAGTTTTCTTTCAGTGGAATGTATAAAAATAATACCATAAAAGTTACAGATATTGTCAACAACAAAAATGAATCGACAAATTTTGCTATCCAAAGTTCCCATTTTTTAACTCCCATCATTAACATCAACTCCTGTGTAAAAATAATTAAGTTTATCATTTCCTCACCTCATTAAAAAAAATGTTAAAATTAAGTATCTTACCTTGGCCCCAGTGAATTTTTCTTGAATCACTCTACTGACTATTGGTGGAACCATTAATGATAATGCCAAAAACCATGACAAGTATATAATAATGGAAAAAATTCTCGGTGTCCTTTCAAAAAAATCAGTATTTTCAAAACTTATCTAAAAAAAAAATACATGAAACTTTTTTATTAAAAATTTTTATTATTTTACATTAACAATTGTTAAATATTATTATATTTTTACCAATAAATTTTACCTTAGGCTCTGATATATTTTTAAAATGCAAAAAACTGATATCGATTGCTCTTTGAAGTTCGATTATTTTATGAAGTGGTGGTATACTGTATCTTGGTATACCTCTCGTATGTTTCCATAGTGCATCCATAAACATCCATACTCTATTTGTTGGGTAAAGTGTATAATTTAAACTGTTTGAACTATTTATCATATTTTCTGCATTGTTAAATTTTATTCCAATACTGAATTGTGTATTATTTCCGCTTAATATTCCCGATTTGACATCTAAAAAAAAATCATTAAAAACAATTTTAAATACTTTATGTAATAGATTTTAATAAAAAATTTTTTCCAATTGGAGTGAACACTAATAATAACTTCAAATATAAAAGTATTAATATTATGCACAAACAAAAAATTACTAAAAATCTTAAATTCAAACAAAAAAATTTAATATGAAACTCTTTGTTTTAAAAAAAGAAATATTAAAAACATACATGATTTTTTGTAGCCAGCATAACAAGATGCTTTCTGCATGAGTGAATCAATAAATGGAGTTGATGGTTCATAAACTATATTGTCATAATATCCATGTCGATAATTGCATTCATTTATTTCAAAAGCATCAAAAGACATGGGATCATTATCAATCTCGTGAGAAAATTTGGGTAATGCCAAATTGGCTAAAATAATTAAGCCTACAGGAATTATAACTTCTGCGGTGGTAGCTATGTAATGATTTTTTCTTATCAGTAAGTTTTTCCACAAAATTATAAACAAATTGTGAAGCATTGTTACTTATTCTATAAACAAAAAATTTTTAAATTAGACTTGAGTTATTCATTTTTGAATTATAAATTCAGTAAAACAAAAAAAAAAAAAATTAATTGACTTTCTTTCCTGATGTTCAGTCTAAAAAAAAAACTTCATAAAACTTTATTTTGAAAAAAAATAATAGTGGATCATAAATGTCATCAAATAGCACTCATTATACGCTACCTTCTTATATAAATTAACTTATAATTCTTAAAGCTTCTTAAATACTAAATCAATCCTAATAAAAAATTATTTCTATAATTTAACCTAAGGAAAAAATAATAATAAATCACAGCCGAAGTATAAATACATTTTTGGCGAAATATTTTTTTACAAAATACTATTCCACGTATACGCCATTTTAAAGTCGTGGAATTAGAAAAATTACGATTCTTATTGTTAAATAGACCTGCTGTTTAGGAATTATTTTTCTGAAAATAATCCGAAAACATCTTTGAAAAACGTGAGCAACATTATTTAAACTTTTTATGTATATAAGCAAACAATTTATAAGTTAAAAAAGAAAAACTTATACTTTAATTTTTCGTTGCAGATTTAAGAAATGGCAAAGTCAAAGAATCACACAAATCATAACCAAAGTAAGTCTTTGACACAAGTTTTTGTCCAACAATATTTATAACAATAAATTTAAAAAATTAGTTTTTTTTTTTTTCTGTATGCTAAACAAATATATTTGTATTTTAGATAGGAAAGCTCACAGAAATGGGATTAAAAAACCTAAAAGGTTTAGGCATGAATCAAAGTTGGGAGTAAGTAATTATTATTTATTGCTATCAAGCAAAAAGGAATTTGTAATATGTAAGTAATACATTTGAAATTTTTACTTATTTCAGGTTGATCCTAAATTTTTAAGAAACTTAAAGTTTGCTAAGAAACACAATAGTAAATCAAAAGTTCAAAAAAAAATGAGATTGGCTAGAAGGAAAGCAGATTTAGCTGCTGCTTCAGCAAAGGTAGCCCTGTACAAAGCAAGACTTCAAGCTTTATATAATTTGCCTAAATATGGAAATGCTAAAAAAGTTTAATTTTAAATAAATGATTTAATAAAAAAAAAAAATTTTTTTAGAAAATTCATAACACTTTTTTGTTTATTATGAGCATTTTTACTTATTATTAATCTTATTTTTTAAAAAAATCATCTTGTTTTAAAAGTATACTAAAAAACATTAGAAACAGAAATAAAAAAGATATGGTTGCTTCGTAAAGTAATTTGGGAGAAAATACAGACCAAATAAATAAATGATTTAAATTTAAAACCATAAAAGTGCAATACAATGTCAAAGGGATTATTCTTAATATGGCATTTACTAAAATTAATCTCGGGGATAAAATGAATGAAAAAATTTGACCGTTAAAAGTATGAGACAATATCATAATTCCAGCATAAAATGGATTATAAGTATTCAAACCTGTAAAACCTGGTGCTATATCGATATTTGCCAAACTGTTACTGTTACCCTGAAATCAATATTACATATATATAGATTTGAATATTTCAAATAAGAAAAATTTTTCCCAATAAATTTCATACCTGATAATAATAAAATACATTTCCCAGCCATATATATATTATAGTTTTCCATAAAGTATCATTTGTACTTTTTAATAACATGTTAATTACTTGACTAGCTAAAAGTTGAAACATTAATAATAATGTATTATGAGGTCTCATGAGGAGGCACGAAATTAATAACCAAATTAAATATTTTGAATGTTTTTTATTAATCGTCTGTATGAAAAAAATTGTGAAAAATGTCCAAAACATGGCAACTTCAAATGTTCCTCTAAAAAAAAAAAAAAAAGAAAAAAAGAGTTTTTTAACTTAATAAGTAATAATTCCAAAGTTAAGAAAATGTAAGAAATTATAATTTATACCTTGTATATTTATTCAAATTTAAATAATTTATTTTAATACTGCCGGTATTTATTCGATAGAGTACAATACATATTAAACACAGTCCAAAAGATAAAATTTGATAAAATGTAAGAGAATTCATTATTGCAGTTACAAATATGAATGAGATTCCTTAAATAGATGAGAAAAATATTAGATTAAAGATATTTTATTTGAATTTACTTTGTAAAATTAAACTTACCTAGAAAAAAAAATATATTTAACCAATTTTGACCATCGGATGAATTAAGAAATGATTTTATGTCGGGTAAGAAAGCCCATTTATCACCGGTTTGATTTAATTTTCTAATAAATCTATGAGAGAGACATAATAAAATCCAGGAAAAAAATATAAATGTTTTTTTTTTAAATGATATATTTCTTATTGATAATGATTCAAAAGCAGCCATAATACTGAATGTCAACCATAAAAAATACCATGTTTGATGTTCTTCTTCTATGAAACTAGTAGACCCATAACTTATTCCATGAATTAATATTCCAAAAATTAAAAATTTCTGATATGGTTTTATAGGTTTTTGAAAACTTTTAGAAAGTCTGTACAATAATGAAATCAATGATACCCAAAGTAAAAATAATCCTATAAATATATATAAATAACTAAAATTTGATTTTGCTTTAATTAATTTTTCAGTAACCGAATTTAAATATTTGTAATATTTTTCAACTGTAATTTTGATATTAGTGTTTAGCGATTGATTAAAATTAACATCAAGTAAATTCAAATCTAAAAAAAACAAAAAAAAAATGAAATAATTATTATTATTTTAAAATATATTTTTTCCCATTATTAATGAATTAAATTAAAAAGTACCTAAATGTGAAACTTCTTCAAAATTTTTCAATTGCAGTCTACTATTTTCTAAATAACTAAGAATTTCCTCTTGATTAGAATAATGTAATAAATTAGGAATAATTTTTCCTATACTTTTTACAGGTGTCGATAATCCTAACAAAGCAGACACTGTCGGAGCAATGTCCGTTTGAAAAGCTGTGTAATTTATTGGCCACCTGAAAAAAAAAAAAAAATATTACAAATCTCTTTCGTTTAGAAAGCTTTAAATTGTTTTTATGAAATAAAACTTAAATAACTTTACCCTGGTAAAGCTTTACATGGTTTTCCAACTGAAACTATTGGAACAAAAATTTCACTAGGAGTCACACCTCCATGACCGCCGGAATCTTTCATGCCATGATCGCTTGTAACTAACAACATTGTTTTTAAATTTCTTTCATTTTCCTTAAATAAAAAAAAAATTCAAAATAATTTTCTTTGAATGATGAATATATATTTTATGAAAATTAAAAAAAAAAAATTTACCAATGCTTTAAAATGCAGTGAAATATTTTTAATAATGTCATCCATTTCAATCAACTTTGATTTAGCGAGTTCACCAGCAGGACCTTCTAAATGTCCAATATGATCTAAACCTAAATAATGCAAAATAATTATATCCCAATCATTTCTTTTTAATTCCTTATATGCATTTTTAGTGACATTATCGTCAACTTCTGTGAAATCAAGAGCAAAAAATGAACTAGTTCCTTCATATCTATAAAATGTATTTGGAAAAAGTTTTAACCAAGTATCATCGCCATAAAATAAAATTTTTAAACCATTATTAAAAGCTTTCTTAATAAAATTATCTTCTTCATAATTTGAAGTCATCACATTCATAACTACATCAATGTAATTGGAAGTAGATCCTGATGTGATAGCCTAAAAATTATCATAGATTAGCAAGATAATAAGCTTTTTTTTTTTAATTATTATTATTTATTTTAAAATAATATATTTTATGATTCAAAAAAAGTGAAATTAAAATATTATGTACCTTAATACGAGGCATTGTCACCGTAGGAGACTCAGTCTTTATTTTAACGAGGCAAGATTCATTATTTAATATTGATGTTGTGGTAAACGGCATGAGTACTTGATTAGAATTTTCCATAACAAAATCATACCTCAGCGAATCTATAAGAATGATGGCGAGTTTATCAACACTACGTTTAGTAACGTATTCATTGTTAGAATTATTTCTGAAATCAAATGACAAACAGTAAAGTCTTTCTGAAAAAAAAAATTACAGAAAAAAAAAAAAAAATTGTATTCATCAACCTGCTATAATTTCCCTTTGATAAACGATCCAATGGGAAAAATCCGTACAAATAAATACATAAAGCTATTATCGAAAGAAAATATACGTAAAAAGAATATAAATCTTTTTGCAAGTAATTCATATCCTTTAAATTATATATTAATTATGGAATTTAAAAAAACCCATCATTAACAATTTAACACAATTCAAAATAACCGTGGCAGTAGAAATAATATTCGTTAAAGTTGTAAAATTTGACAAAATTTTTAAAGTACTTATACTTTTTTTTTTTTTTTTGTGAAATCTTAATTAACTTAAAATGAAATGTTATATATTATTTTAAGTAAAAATAAAATTTTTTAAAATGTCACGAAATTATATTTTTATTGATTTATAAAAAATTTTTAAGTTATCTTATCTGAAATCAAAAACTTATTTTTCTTATACTAATTACTTTTACATTTATAAAAAATTGTAAATTAAAACCTTCAAATTCAATTATACAAAAAAAAAAAAAAAAACCTTTTTCTTTTATTTTTAATATTGATTTAAATAAAAAGGTTTTCAATATATTATTCACATTCAAATATTAATTACTACATACTAAATAAAATTTTTATTTCACTAATGCCACGACGTAAATAATTCAACGTAAATTTTTATTAAACTTTCTTTACTTTTTTTTAAAAATAAAATTCTAATTATTATACGAATAGTATTTTTTAAAATCAATTTAAAAATTTAAATAAAAAAAATTTGTGTTTGATAAAATAATAAATAACTATTTAATTAAAAAATTACTTCTTTAACAAACTCAAAAAAGTAAAATCAATTATATTAATTCTTTTTTTTTCTTTTTTAATTATTGAAATATGGAAGGTTAAATTTTCACACTTAAATTCAAAAAAATAATATTTTCCTAGATAATGTATTGTTATTATTATCAGTAACAGTATTTTGCTTTAAACTTCTTCTAAATATATATATATATATATATTTGTACTATTTATTTACATGACTGGTTAAGATAAAGCAATTTGTACATTGTAACTTTACAATTATAATAAAAATTCGTAATTTATTTCTCATCACATTTTTTTAAAAAAAAAAAAAAACCTCATATGTAGGTAGGGGAATCTTTTAATGAAGCATTGCAGGCACTACATTTGGTTAAACCTGGATTATTAACTAAAGTGCAATTGGAACATTCTTGACCACCGGCAGGTTGAGGATTTATTTCACTACCTTTTATTTTCGATTTACAACACATTTCACACACACTATTACTTTTGGAATTTAAATATGTACACGTTGCACATTGCCATTTTTCTTCCTCCTCCTCATCATCGTTTAAATTAACTACCAATACTTCGATATCATCTTTTAATTTTCTTGATTTTACAATTTCTTTTTTTATTATTTTCGATTCTATTTCCTTCCTATGAGTCTTGTTAACTTTAGCATAAGTTGTATTATTATCTGGTGAATTATTAACATCAATCGATTCTTTTTCAAGTTTTTCTAAACTACCTTTGGTACTGTTACTTTCATATTTAACCACATTTAAATCCCCATAATTATTAGCATCAGTTCGATTTGTTTCTTTTGATTTTTTAATTCTTTTCTCATCGTTATTTTCACAATAGATTTTTTTACTTTGATTATTTTCAACATTGTTCCTATCTAAATTTATTTTTCTCAGTCTGTCGGCGAAATCAACTTCTGACACACTATCAGCATCAACTTCAGAGCTATAATTTTGTGACGATACGTGATTTCCTTTGGAAGATTCACCAATGGAATCTCCGATTTTCCGATATCCTTGACTTTCTAAATTCCTGTAAACGTAATCCCAATTTTCCCAAGAACCTGCTCCATCATTTTTCGCTTTGCTACTAATACACGGTTCTTGATTTTTTATTGCATCTTGGCAAGGTATTAATTTTTGCGTGGAACTATATTTCGAGTTATACGCTCGTTGCAAGTATGCTTCATTTCCATTTAAAGACATTGCCGAGTCGAATTCAATAAGCCGTCCCGTGGGTACATTGGACGGTGAAGCATACATTTCTGGATGATACGTATATCCGTTGGGTGCATAATTGTGCATGTTTATTTGAGGAGGAAAAATATATTTGTGATGATCATTGGTAGAATAAAAATCTTGCGGTTTTAACATTTGATGGGAGGGAGTATATGATGCTGATAGAGGGTACACAGCTGACGGAGGTAAAATTGGGGAAGAATTTAAAACAGGTCCATATCTTGCCTGAAGAGAAACAGAAAATGGATGACCAGGGTAATGAGTATGACTAGGATAACCGATTTGATTTTGCTTACATGTTAAATCTGAATGATGCATATAATTTTCTAGCGAATGAATTTGTTTATTATAAACCTGCTCTTCATACTGTCTTTGACAAAATTTATGAGTTAAAGAACGGATGACTTGATCAGGATTACTAATGTGGTTTTTTCTAAAATCTAAAATTTCTAACCATGCGACACAATACTGAGGTGAAAGTGTTTCCCAAATTTGTTTCATTATTTGACATTCAACATATGCTATTATGGCATCTTTGGAAACACTCGTTATCCTATCCGGATCTAAAATATCAGGTAAAGCTAAACACGAATAACCCACACGTTTGTAACCCATAGCTTCAAACATTAATTCGGCTCCGACTAAATTTTCTTCTATGTTATGTTTGTAAAACCCACAATATAACTGAAATGAATAAAATTTTTTTTTTAAATTTTAATTTTGATAACAAATTGTGTAATTATTTTGAACTGTTTGAAATTTCTGACTTTTAGATTATTTCCTTTATGAAATAAATCATGATTAATATTATTTAAAATTTAGTTAATCGACTTAAAAATCGAGTTTAATTAATCGTGAATTAAATATTGTTTGAAATACTTTTAAAATTTTAATAAAATAATAAATAAAATTATAAAAATTCAACTTGACAAACCTTTATATTTCTATATTCTTTCCTCCAGGGATGTGATATAAGATTATCAGCATATTTTCCAATGGCTTTCCAAGCAACTCCTGCTTTATAGGCACTAAAATTACTCTTCATACTGGCACTTTGATGCAAAACTTCAGCAGTTTCATGAAATGTAAATTTTGAATCATGAGGAGCTAAATATAAATATTCCCTTATATACCCTTCCAGTTTATTACGTTGGTCAATTTTTTTCAGGTTTTCATCTAATTGCAAGTAAAGTAAATGTTGTTGATCAATAAGAGCTCGAAGTTCTTTTAAAGTATCAATAAGTAACATTTTTGCCATAACTAGTTATTTTTATTTTAACAAAATACACATGGCTAAAAAAAAATATTTTTTTTTATTGTAATATATCAACAATATTTACAGATCTGAATGCAAAATAATAAAAAAAAATTAATTTAAAATATTTTGCTGTATTAATTTTTTAAAACTGCAATTGGCAAATTGTATACATACATCTATTAATTAAAACCTTCAAAAAAAACAAAAAAAAAAGGAAAAGTAAAACTAAAAAAACTTAATCATTAAAACTAAAAATAGAAATAAATACCACTTTTAAATTATACAAATAATATAATTATATTCTAAAATTAGATCTGAAATTGTGAATAATGGCAATAGTATTTACCTTACACCAAAATAGAAATTTGAATATAATGATAATAATTAATTTATTGCATTTTTAATATTAACAATTTGTATAAGGCAAATAATTAAGGCGCGTCTCAGCATTAAATCGTATATTATGTTATAAATTTTTTTTTTTTTTAAATAGAAAAATAACTTTAACTTTATACTTGAATTAACCTAGTTTGTTTATTATTAATATTTTCTACTGCTGCAAAATTCTTGGGCGTGAAAAACATATTCACAACAATCAAACACACAAAAGAAAAAGTTTAACTTTGAACGATTATACTTTGTATTTATAATCCGGGGGGGGGGGAAAAAAAAAAAAAAAAAACTCAATTGCAATAAATTATTATTTAGTACTATATTTAACTCTGATAAAAATTATTATTTGTTTTTTATTAATTAAAATTAATAAAAAACTTACAATAATTTAAAAACAAATCTACTAAACCAATGAATGTACCCTTCATTATATATACAAAAATGAATTCAGTTTTTGTATATGGTAAAAATGAAAAATAATTATTTAAAATCTTTATAAGGATATAAAATTCAATAGAAGAAAATATTAACTCAATTAAAGATTATAATTTCATTTTTTTTTTATTTAAAACCTTTCAAAAACTACAGGAAATGGAAATTTTTGTTTTAGCGACTCTAGCTCAGAACTGTAGTCATTTGTTTTTTCCTCAATAGTTTTATCATTTTTAAATTCTAAAATACATACTGGGTCTACTTCTCTTGAAAAAACAGGATCTGCTTGCATGTTGCATTCATCATTAGGTATTGATGTAAAATTCAATGGAACTTCAGCAGCCAATGATAAATTATGTCTTTTTTCATTAATTTCAGACACCAAGTTTTCTATACTAATCTCTTCTTTTTCCTCATTGAAATCCATTTTAATTTCATTTTCTTCCAATACGCACTCCCTTAATAATTTTTCTTTTTCATCGGAATAATTTTTAAAATCATCTTCGCTCTCACTGTCAAATCTTATATGATTAGGTTTTTTTACTAAATTTAACTTAGATTTTTTATTATACAATACCTGATCGCATTTAACAATATCTTTTGCACTATGTAAAAAATGTTTATTTTTCAATGATTTTGTTTTTCTCATTCTTTTCCTTTTTTTTTTTTTGCCGGTAACTTCTTCAACAAAACTTCCGTCAATTTCCAAATCTCTACTTTCTTCTGCATTTTTTGTTTCCCTGGTAGAATATGAGTCTAGATAAGAGTTATTTTTAAAACTACTATCTTGATTTTTTATATTTACTCTTAAATTTTCAAGGACTTCAGCAACTGAAAATGGCTTTTTGAATTTAGAAAATTTATTTTTACCTTTAGATTCGTTCACGACTGGAGAAGAAGTAAGGACAGGACCGGGGGAAACGTTTCTTTTTTGTACAGACGTGTTAATTTCAGATCCTACCATATTTGATTTATCAATTAAATTCTCTGTGCTTGCATTTGAGTTATCACATAAAAATGTACAACTTTCTCTATCTTTCTTCAATGTGTTTCTCACTTGATTTTCCACATTCATTTCCGTATTTGATTCATCCGTATCAATTTTAGATTCATTACCAATACTAACTTTAGATTCGTCCAAGTCACACAAAATGCTATATTCCTTGATATTGTTAACATTTTTAAAACTTGAACATGAATTGAAATTAGAATTTTTATGCATTTTTTTCAAGCTGTCTTGAGAAGAATTTTTCAATGGCTTATTCGACAGACTCAGACTTTTAATTTTCTCAGAATTTATTACATTCGGATATGTATTTAATTGGTGTTTAGTTCGAGTATCGAAGACATCAGCATAATCTGTCACTTTATTTTCCATAAGTTTAGATAAACTATTTTGAGATTTGGTCAACAGTGAGGATTTATTCAGTTCAATTTCTAAATTATTCGTTTGAAAATTAGAATGACTAGAAGAAGTTTTCGTTTTTAAATTTTTCAATGGATTGTCTTCGTATTCTGTAAACACTCCCTTAGCAAAATCATTCTTAGATTCGGAATCAAAATTATGTCCCAATGAATTTCCAAAACTTAAATTTTTCGATAATTGTAAGAGTTGATGTGATTCATTTATGGATCGATTCAATGAACAAAATTTATCATCTATTTTTAAAAGTTTATGAGCCATTATTTTAGGTATTTTAACTTCATTCCAATAGGTATAAAAATCGAAACCTTTAAATAAGTTTTTATTAAATTCAGTATGTTTGCATCTATTAGTTTTACAAGACTTTAACCTGAAAATACATGTATAAAATTAAAAATATGGATTAAACCGAAACTGATAATATAAATAATAATAATAATAATAAAAAAAAAAAAAACACTTGAATGCTTACTGAAAATTTTTAAGAGTAGATAATATCATAATATCTTCTAAATCGTGAATAATAGTATTATTATGAGTAAGATACAAACAATAATCTATAGAAAAAACCCAACGTATCCATTCGATTAATTCATAAACAATAGACATTTTTCCACTATCAACAAGCATTGTGAATTGAGATTCATCGTCGTTTAATATTTTAACCAAATTGACGGTAATAACAAAAGACTTATTAATAGTATCCATAATTTAAATGTATCGAAAATTAATTTTTTTTAAAAATTATTATAAAAAGTCAAAATTTTAATAACCAAAAAATATTTTTTATATTTTTCTTTTTCTTTTTTGCTCTTTTTTTTTTTTTTTTTATTTTATTTACAATTAAATTTAAAAATGTAACGTAAATTTTTTTTTATTTATGAAATGATATGAGAGTTACCAACTTAACAGCGTGATTAGAATCAATCAAAAACGCGCGCCAACTTTACATTTTTTACATTTTAAACAATAATCAAAACAAATCAATCAATTTACTTTTAATAAGTTTTAATATATACAAATAATAATTCTTAAAAAATGGAATCCTTTCAAATGAAACAAGTGAGTTTAATTAAAAATTTAATCTCTTATTATCTTTAAAATCTTTTATTTTTATTTTAATTAAAATATTCCAATAATAACATAAAATTTTTTGCCTGTTTATATTTTTAAAAGTTTTCAGTAATGAATACCTTCAAGTGATTAAATATTATGAAAAAATATTTTATTATTTATACAAGGATGTAAATGAAAGACAATTATGTATTTAAAATAAAAAAAAAATTACATTTTTTTGGATTTCATTTTTAGATTTTGACCGATCCTACATTGGAAAAACATTTACAAGGGCATAAATCATGGGTAACATCATTAAGTTTTTCTCCAGATACATCCCAATTGGCTTCCGGAAGTAAAGATCACTCTTTGATGATATGGATTTTAAAAGAAAATACTCGAGCTTACAAGTATATATTTTTATATATTTTTTTTTCCCCCACAATATTATTTTTAACAAACTGATAATATTAATTTGAGCATTTTTTTAGGTTCTTGGGTCATAAAGATATAGTTACTGACATTTGTTTTTCGCCAAATGGTAACCTCATAGCTTCATCATCTTATGATCGAACAGTAAGACTTTGGATACCTAAACTCAAAGGAGATTCGACCGAATTTCAAGCTCATTTAAACGTGGTTAGATCTGTTCATTTTTCAAATGATGGAAAAAATTTAGTAACAGCATCTGATGATAAATCTGTCAAGGTGTTTACTCAGAAATTTTTTAATTAATGTGAATGATTATAAAAATTTTTATTAAATGACCATTTTTTGTGCTTCTGTGTCAGGAATGGACAGTTCAAAGAAGAAAATTTGTTTCCAGTTACACGGGGCATAAAAATTGGGTTAGGTGCGCTAGGTTTTCACATGATTCTTCCATTATTGCTTCAGCATCAGATGACAAAACTGTAAAATTGTTCGATAGAAGAACAGGAAACTGTTTTCAAACTTTTATCGATCTCAAAGGTATGATTTATGTGAGTTTGCTTAAACTCTTAAGTTTTTTATATCCACATGTTCTCATTATGGCGATTTTTCCATATTTCCATAGGAATGCCACAAAAAGTTGCATTTCATCCGAGTGATATATGCATTGCAGTCGCGTTAACCAACAAAACAATCAAGTTATATGACTTGAGACTAAATAAACAATTACAATTGTACAAATGTCATGAAAAAGAAGTTAACAGTGTTGAATTTCATCCATGTGGTAATTATTTATATTCAGTTTCAGGAGACAGTACTCTAAAGGTAATTACAGGAATATCAAACTCAAGCAAGCGAGAAACTATATTTTATTTAACCATGTTTATTTCAGGTAATCGATTTATTAGAAGGACGCCCCATTTACACTCTCAAAGGTCACGAAGGATCAGTACTTTCCATAACGGCATCAAAAGATGGTAACTACATAGCATCTGGAGGATCAGATAAACATATACTAGTGTGGAAAGCAAATTTCGAACTCGTGAAAAATACCGATTCATTCCTTAAAGACGAAATGCAATCATTAGATAGTAAATTATTACAATTTAAAGATGTGTCACCCGAACCTGAGGATTCGTTTAATTTTGTAAGAAAATTGATGATGACGTTAAAATGAAAAATTCTTCTGTTATTCTAATTCGTTTCCCTTGTTTCGTTTCAGGACAATTTTTTACTTTCCGAAAATAAGGAAAACGATCCGAAAGTTTCCAATGCAATAATAAATAGAGAGTATTTAAATCAAGAGTCATTGTCATACCAAGATAAATCCAGCAAAATCGACACGCTCATTTCAAAAATAAATAATTTAAGTGACGCAATGTTAAACATGGACGCGAGATTAAAATTAGTTGAAAAAAAATGCAACGAATTTTCTGAATCTTTAAACAAAATAAAATCGTAATTTGAAATGTAATTCCAAATTTTAGAATCGCTTACTTAATCGATTTCTCATTAAATGTTGTAATGAAAATATTTTTTTTCTCTCTCTTCTTTAATATAATAAATAATATTTAATTAAATTTTTACCTTTATCGATTTAAAAGATTCCTTTCGTTGAAACCATTCCATTGTTTCCATTTTAAAAAACCTTTTTTTAACTTTCCCATAATAAATATTTAAGCAAATTCTTCCTCCATGGTTCACACAATATAATTAATTTTTTTCGATAAATGTTGAATTATCCACATTTAATTTGATCTTTTTTTAGTGACTTTCATAAACATAACCATAACTAAAAAAATTATTATAAAAATTTATTTAAAATTGTTATGATTAATGCTTTGGCGAAAAAGTTTGAAAAAAAAGAAATTTACTCACAAATAAAAATAATCATAACGAAAAATATTAAAACCCACATCCAACACCTCCAAGCTCTTTTATTATGTTCTTCTAGTTTACTCGATTCAATTTTTAATCTATTTAAATTTTTATCAGCTAAATTTGTAGATTTTTGAAGTGTCTGTAAATAAAAATAAATATTTTATAATCATTTTTTTTTCCAACAGAAAAATATCTTGTGAAGGCCTGTCGACGACAGGAAATGTTTTACGTTAAAACACTTTTGCCTATTGAAAAAAGTAATCAAATAACAGAATTAAAGAAAAAAAAAGTTTAATTACTTCAATATCCTTTTTAATTATTGTATTTGCTACTTTGGTTTGTTCTTTTAAATCTCTCGTCAAATGTAACATATTGCTAACTATGTTTTCTTGTACAACTTGATGATATTTAATAACAGAATCAACATCTTCTCCAGTTGATTTTTCAAATTTTCTATGTCTCACTTCATTTTTATTTGCTGTAAAAATAAAAAAAATGATTTCCAGTAAATTAATTATAAAAAATATCTGTTAATTTCTTTGATATTTACCTGGCTCTGTACTAAACAATTCATTTCTCATATCTAAATAATTTTTCGATGTATTTTTTTGAACAATTTCTAAACAAATATTTCCATTTGATGTTGCTATACCATGAGGCATCATTTGTAAAGCCACACCTCTTTTTTCTACATTATCCTTAAATAAATAAATAAATAAAATCATTTACATTTGACTGAATATTTGAATGAGTAAACAATTAAGAAAAATTCTTACTATTTTTTGTGAATCGACTAATTTTTTTAATAAATCTATTCTTCTGCCATATTCTTTTAATACTTCTGGATCTGGTTTTCTAAAAGAAAAAAATTTTTTTTTTTTAACCGTTTTCAATTCATGACAACTTATTCGCTATTGATAAAATACAGCATTACTTATTAAACTTACTTGGATTTTTTTTGCAATTCTTGTAACATTTCTGATAATGCTTCAACATACTAAAAAAAACCAAATATGAAATAAAACTTTCATTTGATTTAATTCGAAAATAATTATTAAAATACCTTTTCTAATTTCCAATCCGATGTTGCTAAATCATCCGTACTTAATGCTTCCGTACATTTTAAAAGTCTTTTGATATTAATTTCGAGTCTCGAAACTATCATTTTTAATTCATTAAAATTTATTTATCACAACTCTTTAACACAAAGTTAATCACTTGTTGACGTGCAGTTTCCCGAATCTATTGCCACGACTTTGTACACGAATGTAATTTTTAATAAATTCCCGCCAAGTTAACGAAAACTCGGAATAAATTTTTAAATTCCATCAAGAACGATTAAATAAAAAAAAAAAAAAAAAAACATTTGTATTTATAAAAATAAAATTTTATATTTAAAAAATAATTTATATTTAAAATCAAAAATTTATAAATTCCATTTATATTTCTAAACTAAATAATATTCCCCGTATTTTACAAACGTATTTGATTCCCATGTAAAATTAACAAATGATTGATTGATTAATAAATTTTTTTATAAAAATTATAAACTTGGAATTACATGATCCTTATTTTTAATTAAACTATCTACGGCTTTGCAATAATCCGTTCCAGTCATCCATTCTTCAATTTCTTCGACACTTTAAAAAAGAAAAAAAAATTTAAATACGTTAAACGTATTTTGATTGAGATTTAAATTCCCCCCCCCCGGCCCCCCGGGGGATAGTACTCACGTTCTTGGTACGACCGTTAAATTTTCCACTCCTTTTTCGGTTATGACGACATCGTCTTCGATTCGAACTCCGCCGAAATTCCAAAAACGTTTGATTGCTTTCGGAACCAAAAATTTATTTTGTTTTGGATTTGCCAAAGCTTTTTCTAAAATCTAAAATAAATAAAAACGGAAAAACTTGGAATCGTAAAGATTTACGCGATGCTATTTTATAAAATTTTCAACAAAAGTATACCCAAGGAATAAAGTAACATCCGGGTTCGACGGTTAAAACCATTCCAGGTTCCAAAATCCGAGCTGTTCTCAACGAGCTGAAACCCGCCGCTTCCGGTCTTTCGGGAGTTCCTTCCATGTATCCGCCGACATCGTGGACGTCGCATCCCATCAAATGACCCAAACCGTGAGGTTGAAACACAGCCCCTAGTTCTGCTTCAATCATTTCGGAAACGTCACCCGTCAAAAGTCCTCCTTCTTTCAATTTCGTCAGCATTACTTTATTGGCTTTGAAATGCATGCGACACCACGAGACACCCGGTTTCGCTTTTGACAAAACGGCATCTCTCGCCGCCAAAACAGCATTGTAAATGAGTTTTTGATCATCCGTGAAAATTCCGTTCGCCGGAAAAGAACACGTTATGTCCGACGCGTATCCGCAATAAGAACAACCCATGTCGAACAAACTAGCAAAAAAAACGAAAATTAGAAAAGGTTTATCTAATACCACGATGATTTTGAACAAACAAATGTTTACCACATGTCGCCATCACGTATCGTTCTATCGTTCGGTGCACCCGCATGACCATAATGAAGTATGCTTCCGTTGATTCCGCTTCCACATATGCAAGTGTAACTAACGTGCCTGCATCCACCGACGAAATAACAATAATCCAGGAAAATCGACTCGCATTGATATTCTTTCATTCCCGGTTTTATCCTTCTCATCACTTGTTTGTGTGCCTCCGAGGAAATGCGATTCGTGTACCTGATCACTTCGATTTCTTGCGGAGTTTTTATCACTCTCCTACGATACAACGACAAATATTATTATTATTAATAATAATAATAATAATAATAAAACAATTCAAATATTAAATTAACGATAATGGAAATCAAACGGAAACGTTTAAAAAAATATCCGGGAGGGGGAAGAAGGGAGGGGGTGGGGGAAAGGGGAATTTTTGTTGAAAAAACCTTTTGAAATTTCTTTTTTATCATAATTGATAAATTTTAATACAATCATCATCATCATCATCATCATTATTTTCTATCATTTTTTTATTATTCCCGTTAATAAAAGCAATACTCGTGCCACGTTAAATTTTTGAGGTAAAAAAAAAAAAAAAAAAAAAAAAATGGCTGAAAAACTAAATAAATAAAAAGAAAATAAGAAGAAGAAGAAAAATAAGAAAATTGATATAAAAATTCAGTTTTTTTTAAAAAAAAAAAAAAAAAAAAAAATGACATATATATATAAATATATATAAATAAATATAAATAAACGTAAATATATATATACACAAATAACATATACACGCACACACACACACATTTACATAATACATGGTAACTTGAAGCTTTTAATTATTTAAATTTGGTAATTAATAAATAAATTATCAACACGTCATGCCATCATCATTCGTTACATACTAAAAAATTTACACGTTTGGAGACTTTCGCGGGTTTTTTTTTTTTTTTTTTTTTTTTTTTTTACGTATATATATACAAACATCATTGTTCTTCTTGTTCTGCTGCTACGATGGAAAAGCTTGTTCTGCAGACGACATTTGAACTTTTAAATAATTTTTAAGTCCGCATTCGTCTGACAAAAGTGAATTAACGTTATTGTAATCTAAATCCACGACGTTTAAACCTAAATATCTCAAATGTCTTTTTCTCATAACTTGAGATCCTATGAGAAATTGACCGGTCGAATCGTAATGTTCCGGAAGGTGAATGAGGAGTGCGGTAAAATCGTTCCACGAATCCGACGAATGCAACATGGAGGGTTTCCCTTTCGGATGTATGATTATGTCGACGACGTATAATTCGTTGAGTGGTAAATTTTTTAAAACGACGGCCGACGCCAAACTCTTTTCAGGTTCGATGAGACCGGGTAAAATTTCCAACAAGTGATCGGACACGTTTTGAAGTCTCGCATCTCGCGTGATCAAATTCGAGGGAGAATCGGGAAGCAACAGGGGACCCTGATAGTGTTTACATTCCAACGTCAGCGCCGCATCCAGCAATTTCAATTTTGTCCTTATCAAGTATATGTGTTGCGTGTCCTTGAACGAATGAAGCCTGTCCAGAAAATAAGGATTGAATATTTTGGCTATGAATTTAATGGGGTGTTTTTCTAGGAAAACGAACGACAGCATTATATCGAGTGCATCCTCAGAATATAAATGCACAAATTTTTCCATCAATTCTTCTTCCAGAACTTTCCAAAAAATCTCTTGATTGCAGGGTAAGTAATTGAGGTTACCAAATGGCAAGAAAATGGATTTGAGAACCAGGGGCGTCATGTATTTGGCATTGGCGACAAAATACTCACTGCAAGAATTAAATATCGAAGGATTTCTTATTTTATACTTGTTACAGTAATCCATGATGACAGCAATGAGCTCTGGATTTTTTATGTCCAGCTTTTTCGATGACAAATATTTTTCAATCGCTTGCACAACATCTTCATCCGAATAAGGCAATTCCATGAAACCTTCAATGACTGCTCCCAAATCTTCTTCGTTTGTATCGAGAACTTTTATGAACAACCAATTTGACAAACACCTAATTATGCTCAGCGGAAATTCTTTTATCTCATTCAAAATGGACAATATTTCAGCTATGTTGTCTCCTTTCAATTTTAAAAAAACAACTTCAATTTGTTTTTGTAGTATTTTTAAAAACAATGCTCTGCTCAAATTCACATGAATCAATATTCTAAAAACTTCCATTATCGTTTTTTCATCGATTTCATTTTGTTTTTCAATAACACCTACCCATAATTTATCGATATCAAATTCATTGCCAGACAGTAATAAGGATCTTGCTGATTTGCAAATTTCAGATATGCTAAATCTGTCATCTGCTATCCTTATCAAAACTTCATCGCATAGTTTTTGCCTGATGGAAAGTACATTTTCCCCTGTCATGTCTTCGCTCACCAATTGCAAAGCTTCTAAAATTATACTATTCTCGTTGCTCGTCACGATAATATCAATGAGATTATTGAGTGCAGCACTGTTTTTCTCGCTGTCGAATTCGTCATCCTCTAGGAAAGCTTCGAATTTACGTTTGAAATCTTTGCAATTTTCAAATTTGACGACGGTTTTCAAGGCTTCCAATGCGACCGCAGGAGTTATTTCCGTCGGCGGTATTATTTCCAATAGGGAAAATACATTTTTCGGAGTGAAACATTTGTTGAAACCCTCGATCATTTCTTTAATGTTTTTATCATGGAATTCGTTTGTAAAATTTTCAACGTCTTTTGAATTTTTTTTTTTTTTTTTTTTCAAAGAATCAAAATCCGGAACTTGAGTCTCGGTTATTTTCCTCACTATGACGGGCAATTCTTGTATTCCCATATTATCCTCGAGTAATAATGCGGATTCGCCAATGATTTCGTTGCAAGTGGACCTCATGCATTTTTGATTATTCCACAACAAGAGTAATTGTTTATACGGACAAAGCCAATAATTTCCCTTTGCGAGTACTTTACTCCGACTCCCGATCAACAATGTATATTTTAACAATTGCAATAAACGCGAATGCATTTTTCAAATGCGAAAACTCCGCTTGATTAAGCGCGAAAGCACTGAAATTTAGTAAAATCCTACGATTATATCAACAACAAAAGCCTCCATCTTTAAATAAGTCACCTTGTAAGCTCGGATTCAACTTCGGGTTTTTTCCCCGGCAAACTTCGGATATCATCGTATTATTATTTTTTTTTTTTCCCCCACGTTGGCGATGGCGATTTTAACCGTTTACGACGAGTTTATTAATCAATAGTAAACAAAATAAAAAACATTAAATTCATTCGAGCGAAAACAATTTTTTTTTTTTTTTTTTTCCACAGCCTTTTCGAAATAATGTATGTGAAAATGATTGGATTCGGTAATATATATATAAATATACGCCATTAAACTTTTTTAGAAAATACTTACAATTCGGTTATTATCGGATAAAGAAGCTTACAATCCGTTTGGAACCTGAAACAAAAATGAAAATGAAATGGATTTTATTTATTCATAGAAACAAATACAAAATAACGTAATAAAGCTAAAGAATATATAATCCGTTTAAAAATTTTTATTCTGACTACCGCCATGATTAAATAAATGGCTAATCTATAAATACCACGTGTTTTTACGTCATTTCTTTCCACCTCCCCTCTACCTCTCCCAACTCGTTTGCAAGCACAGGTATCACAACAACAACAACAACAACAACGACGTTACCTTGTGGGGGGAATTTGCCACGAATAAAACAAGATTTTTTTTTTTTCAATGGAAAAATGAGTTTGTGTTGCGTTACGAATGTGCTTAATCAAAAAAAAAAAACCCTCCGACAATTTCATTCAATTGAAAGGAAAAAATTTTTTTTGTTTTTCTCGGAAAATTCCCCCTCCCCCCTACTCCCTGCCTCCCTAAATAAATTTACATTTAAACGCCGAGGGGTAAAAAAAAAAAAAAAAATTAATTCGACTTACTCATCGATCCCATCAAAAACAGCTGGATTCATCGTTAGATTGCTGTCGGTATTAAGACCGGACTGAAAATAAAAGAAAATGATAATGATAATAATGATAATAATAATAATAATAATAATAATAATAATAATAATAATAATAATAATAATAATAATAATAATAATTTATTTTTCTTTCTTGAAAAAAAAAAAAAAAATTCAAAAGGTATATTCATCATTCACATACCAAAAGATAATTAATTACCAATTAATTTGAAAACTCATTTTCATTTCATTCATTCATTCATTCATTCATTATTATTATTATTAATAGAAAAAAGACTAATTAAAAAGAATTTTTGCTCGTTATTGCGAGCAAAAAAAAAAAAAATAAATGTTTAATAATTTACGATTTTATCGGTTTAAGAATAAGAAAAAAACCATAAAAAACATAAAAAAAAAAAAAAAAAGGCTAATAAAATTTTTAATAAAAGTCCGACAATTTTCTTCGACGAATTCAAGGATGGAAACGAAGAGGAAGGGGGGGGGAGGAGAAGGAGGAGGAGGAGGAAAAAAGCGGGGGATAAGGAAAAAAAACAACAACAACAACTGAACTTTTCATTTGGGTGATAATAGGAAAACAATCGTTTCGTTACGTTTCAAGGAATTTGCAACAATGATAACATCATTTAAACTAGTGATTTTCCTATTAAAAACGTTTCCACCTTGAAAACAAAAAAAAAAAACAAAAACAAAAACAAAAACAAACGTAATCTAATGAATGAAAACAATCGTGGATTTCGTTCGTTCGTTCGTCGTCGTCGTTATGTAAGATCGCAACAAACAACAACAACAACAACAACTCTCGAATGAAACATTCAAAAACAGTTTTATCAAAAATTATTATTATTATTATCAACACGCATTACGTACAACAACTGCGTGAAGTGCGATTTGTTTCTTTCATTATGGAGGTTCGAAAAAGTAAAAAAAATTTTTTTTCTTTTTTTGCCATGTTTTCACAAACATTTCATTTTACGCAATTGCGTGCAATGCAATTTTTTTTTTTTTTTTTCAATTTCGAATCGTCGTTTCCCTCCCTCACCTCTCCCTCCCCCTTCCTCATTGTTTTACAAACCAATGAATGAGACCATTCGAAATCATTTTACCGTTGACAATAATTTTTAAAAAAAATTTAAAACGCTCTTATCGTTATCGTTTGCAAATAATAATAATAATAATAATAATAATGAAAAGGTTATTGAACCCATATAGAAAACAAACGACGACGATCCTGGCGGAGAATCGCGCATTTACGCACCGTGCAATGTGTGACACGAGGGTGACACGAGGACGATGAAGCTTTAAATTTCATTTGAAAATTTATTCGGGAAGATCGGGATGCGAATGCAACAGCAACAACAACAACAACAACAACAACAACAACAGCAACAACAACAACAACAACAACAACAACAACAGCAACGACACGATTCGTACGGTGCGTACGTGTGAACAAACAAACACCCGTTTTTAAATTACACGTATAAATAAATCCTGCATCGTTTTAATTTTTAACAGGAAATAAATAATTTCCCCCTCCTCCTTCTTTCCCCTTATATCCCTCCTTTCCTTTCCCCCCGTCCTCCGAAATCACTTTTTGTTCTCGACCATTCAAATACTTTAGCTCAAACTCTCTTGTTTGAAAACAAAAACAAAAACAATAACAAAAAATTGCAAACGTGATTTTAAAACGAGCTAAATAATAATAATAATAATAATAATAACAATAACAACAACAAATAATAATAATAATAATAATAACAAATCGTTGGCACGTATTCTATAAATTAATAAAAAGTAATGATTTGCAATTTATATATAAAAATTACGATGTCAATGCAATTGTTTAAAAAAAATTTAAAATAAAAAACAAAACAAAACAAAACAAAATGGTTTCCATTTTTTTTGCTTTTTTTTGCTTTTTTTTCATTTTTTTTTTTTTTTTTCATATTTTTTTTAAACAAGCGACAGCAAATTGACGGAGCTAAAAAAATAAATAAATAAATAAATAAAATTATGTATTAATAAATAAATAAATAAATAAATAAATAAAATTCACATCGTCCCATATCCAAATTGCTAACAATTCAGCAAAAATTTAATTGCAATTCGTTTTTTATTAAAATTTTCTTTATTTATTTTTTCAATAAATCTTTAATTTTAACAACAAACAACAAACACAACAACAACAACAACAACAAATTTAATAATCAATTGCCAAAAACGAAACGACAAACGACAAAAAATAACAAAAAAAAAAATTTTTTTTTTTTTTTGCAGACAAACGACAATAAAAAAACAAAAAACCTAGAAATGGTTATCATTACCGGAAATACAACAACAACAACAACAACAACAACAAACAATACAAAAAAATAAAATAAATAAATGACGTGAAAAATTTTTTTTTTTTTAACAATCGTAAATAATAATAATAATTACATTCACACACATACACAAAAAAAAAAAACTTTCCTAAATTAATAGAAAAGTTTTTTTTTCCTTTTTTTTTTTTTTCCGGCATTATTGTCATTTTATTATTATTATTATTATTATTATTATTATTTATATTATTATTATTATTATTATTTATTTTATAGCGATAGATAAATAATGTTTTACACCATTATTATATCAATGAAACAAATTATTATTTATCAAAGAATTCCATTCGAAAATAATAATAATAATAATAATAATAATAATAATAATAATAATAATAATAATAATAATAATAATAATAATAATAATAATAAAATTGTTGACATTTTTCATAGATGATATATATTATTATTTTTCCTGGTAGGGAACAAACACACGCAAAAAAATTTGTAGCTTTTGAACCTTAAACGCAAACATTTTCACATTCTAACGGGAAATCAATCGCGAAAGATTCTAAATAAATAAATAAAACCGCAATTTATTTGAAAAAAAGGTTCGAGAGGTTCGAGAGGAAAGGTTAATCGACAAATTTATAAACTCCGTTAATTGAATTTCAATTTTAAATGGTTTCGTTGCCACGCATAAAGCGGTAAATTTGTGCGTGTAATAAAATCATCATCATCATCATCATCATCATCATTATCCTTTTGATCGTTCCTTGTCAATTTCAAAGGTTCGAAAACTCCTTTGATTCTAATATCATCATAATGATTATTTACGGTGAGAGAGAGAGAGAGAACATCATAATAATAATATGTAAATATTTAAATTAATAATTTGCATATAAATTTCATTTTGAAATGTTATTAATGAACCGTGTGGGGGAGGCGGGAAGGGGGAGGTGGAGGGGGAGTGAAGGGGGAGAAGAACTTTAAATCGACAGGTATTTAATTTTTTTTTTTTTTTTTTTTTTTTTTAAATTTCTGTGCGTCATTCATTTTCACGTCATTCATATTTGTAAGCAAACGTGGTGGTGATGGAAAAATTATGTAGAATTTTGTTCAAACCCTTTGCAAAACTTAACCCTTAGAAAGGGAGAAGGGATGACCCTTTTAAGGTTTAAAAATTAAGCACTTGAAAAAAGGTCATAAATTTACTTTTCTTTTTGTCTTACATCGATTAATTATTTTGTAAACGAACGCATAATAACAATTTAACGTGTTCCAAATAAGAATTTTAAAGTGGACAAAAGAATTGCGTAATGTAGTGTGTGCGTGCGTGCGTGTGTGAACAAACTTAAAGTTACCAAATATTATGGCATGTTCGTGCTGCCGAGCGAGCTGGCTTACTTTTAAACAAAACAAATAATAACTTAAAAAAAAAAAAAATACCGACCGAAAGTAGTTGATATAAAAGGGCAAAGTAAGCACATTTTGCCAAAGGAAAAATCATAACAAAAAAAAATAAACGTGTCAAACCGAAAAAGAAAATTCTTCGAATGTGACTTAACCTAGAAATGACGTAACATTTTCAAATGAAAAATTTTTTTTTTTATAGGGAAAAAGGCAGAGAGTGGCAAAGGGGGGGAAAAAAAAAATCAAACAAACCAGAATAGTTATAAACCAGAAAGGGAAACTTCTGTGACGTAAAATGGCGTCTGGAAGACACCAGACATCGACTTATTCTATATCAATGATAGATAACCCCTCAAAAAAAAAAGTAGTGCCAACTTTGCAAATTGAAAACTTCGAACTTGAGGAAACCACGTGATAAATTAAGGAAAAATAAAAAGGCGTATAGATAGTGTAGTTTTTCCATCATCGACACAAACATTTACAACCCTTAAAAATGACAAGGAAAATAATAATGATAACTATAAGAGTTTTCATGCTCACGAGAAAAATTTAAAAAAAAAAAAAAAAAAAACAAATTAACCTTTGACCTAAATCAATACGCAATAAAAGGCGTAAAATAAATTAATAACAAACAAAACAATTTTTTTTTTTTTTTTTCATCGTTACCAACATTAAAAAATTCGCGTATTCGTGCGTATAAATCCGTTTGTGTGTTTATGGATGCGTATGGGTGCGTATGTGCGTTACTACGTAATACTTCATAATGAATGATTCGTTTGAAAAATGTTTATATTAAAAAAAAAAAAGAAAAAAAAAAAAAAAAAAAAGGTGAATGACATCACAAATAAATATGATTATTTTGCGTTCGACATATTTTTTCCTTTTTTTTTTTTTTTCGTATTAACAAAAATAAGCAGGAATCGCACGTAATAATTAAATCGTTGTGAGAGTACACAAAAAAAAAAGGTTCATTTTATTTTTTATTTTATTTCCTCAAGTCGAATTTTTTATGGTGATACCGTAAAATTAAACCTTTTTATTATTATTATTATTACTTTTTTAAGCGAACGCCACGTTCGTTAAAAAAAAAAAAAAAAAAAGTTATAAAAACAAAAAAATACACGAATACGTTATTTTAAAACGAATATATTGACGACTGACGATGAAGAAAGACTATTGATGACGTAACAACAACAACAACAACAATAACGACAACAACAGCAATAACATTAATAAAATCATTTCTCGTTTACGCCTTTTTTTTTTTCTTGTATTTTTCCTCGT